TAAAGCATGAAGGTTTTCTTTTACTACAAAAAAGTCGAGTGAAAAATCTCTTCTGCGGTCATTATCACAGGAGGAGGCACCCTCCTTCACGCAGCTTTCAAATTAATCCTTCTTCTCCTTCTCCTCCTCGCGATGCGACACCGAGAGCACAATCTGAAAACAATTAAAATAAAGACAAAAACAAACCATCTACGAGTAAAGTGCCCCGACATGTGGCGGCTGAGAGCACCGAGCGGCGAATGGCCACTCCATCACTGGGACACTCCACCGGGATGCATGCGTGGCGAGCTGGCAGCCCTCTCTCTTCACCACCCACTGCTACCTTACCCCGCTGTTCAGGTAGCCAAGTTCGTCAGGTAGTCCCGCTGCTCAGGGAACGCCGCTGTTCAGGTTGCCAAGCTAGTCAGGTAGGCCCCACTATTCAATTAGCCCCAACTGAATTTCAATTTAAAGCTTTCATGACTGCAGGGATTCATCTTCTTGGTTCTTTCGGTAAAGTCACGTAGAAGGGAAATAATAAAATAATAAAAATAAAACTTAAAATACAATTCTCACAACGTTTCGGCCACAACGCAAGCAGCCGTCCTCAGGTGAAGAACAGGTCTGTCGGAAAGACAGCGTCTGCCAAGCCTGGTGATGTTCATTCAGACGCTGTCTTTCCGACAGACCTGCTCTCATTCAGACGCTGTCTTTCCGACAGACCTGTTCTTCACCTGACGACGGCTGCTTGCGTTGTGGCCGAAACGTCGTGAGAATTGTATTTTACTATGTTTATTTTTATTATTTTATTATTTCCCTTCTACGTGACTTTACTGATAGAACCAAGAAGAAGAAGCGTTTTATCGGCCACGATGCTCCCCGCCCTTCAAACGCTCCGACAAACGAATTAACAATCCACGCATCGTGTGTCCCTTACAATACACGTTAGCGTGAACTTTCAGTTCCGTATTTTTTTACTTTCTCGGCGGTTCATCAACGTTTCGGTTCGACAGACACCAGTCACACTTCTTATGTATTTTAAGAGTGCGAGTGCATGGCGCAAACGGACTGGGCTCCATAAATGTGCTGTGCGGTCCAGACAGATCTCCAAAATTTGGAGGACGCTGACAGCTGATGCCAAAGCCTTGCGCAATTGCGAGCCACGGTATGCGTGCAGAACACTTCATTCGCACCGTACGTAGCCAACCGTGATAATCGGGAGGTGCGGGAACAGATATTCTTACAGTCCTGCTCCTTTATCATTCATGGGACAAAAACTCGACCGCAGCCGGTGTTTATTTGGCCGCCAATTCCCCCTGGGTTCATGGTTCGTCTCTGGGGGGGGAGTTCTCTCTGGATTTCACCCATCTGGCGAGCGCCACTACCCAAAGGGGGCAGCTGCGTATTATTCTTAAGGCTTCGGTTACGCTTGCGCAGAGCCGAGACCAAGAAAAGAAAACCACGCAGCATCCTGCCCAAAATGCAGACAATCCACAGGCGACCCTCGCAAACGCTGAGCGAGGGAAGCAGGGAACGCTGCGGCGCGCGAATCGCACGTGCGGAGCGTTGACTCGCACGCTGTGCCCCGTGTTTAATGTGCAGCGCGCGTCGTATTGCGCGTGTGCGCACGCGTGCGTGGGCAGGGAGGTGTCGCAGTGGTTAGCGCTGCTGCGCTACAAACCCGGCGACTCGAGTTCGATTCCCGCTCACGGTCGACACCAATGACGATTATCTGAACCGGTCTTGTGCCTTCCCCTAGGTCGACTCAGCCTCAAATGAGTACCTGGCGCGACGTATAAACATTTCCACGAGGAGACTAAGGCAGGCCGGGCGTGGTGCTGGCCACCCACCTCCACGTGTGCCGTGCCGGCCTTCAGAAGTGCTCGCGAAAAGCACTTGCCCCAATAGTCTGTTAAGGCTATAGTATCTTTGTCTTTGTGTGCACGCGTGCGTCCGTTTCTTCGTCTCCAGTGAGCGTTGCGCTGATCGGGCGTGATACGCCATTGCACGTGTTGCCAGCCTCGAGAGGGGATTGTTTCAGCGTGCCAGTACGATCAGAAAAAAACATATTGCGTAAACGGTATCGTTGCGGATTTTAAACATACTTGTGGCTTACGTAAAGTATTCCAGGGCAGATGACGTTTAGTAAAATACTGTACAAAGTATGGGACATATATTATCATAGCATTGTTTTTTGTTTGCATGTTCACCACAAGTACGTGTGGTTAATGCAGACAGGATTCCTTGCAAAAGTATTCTGTTTTAGCACCTGTTTTATTGCCAGAAAGGGTAAAACCTATTGTTATACCGTACAATGTATCGCAGTGCGTGTAAAAAGCACATTCTATCCTATTCGATCGCACTTGTTCTCTGGTTGTAAATCGCGCTGTCAATTCACTGCTGGATGAAGGTCTCCCCCCATGCCATGCCAATCAAGGGGGGATTGTTTGACTATACTGCACCACGTTGGTCAGTGCGGGTTGGTGAAGGCGGGTGTTGTCTCGGAGCGGGTTCGGATATCGCCCCTCAACAGCGATGTCGTAACCGTCCTTTTCCTTCTCACTGGGATACGAAACGACCGAACACCGCCCCCCGACTTTAACCACTGTGCGTCCTGTGCGTACAACTGTGCGTATGCGGCGCACTTGCCCCGACAATCTGTTAACGTACCACACGGGGGACCTTTATCTCTGCGGGGGGGAGGTGGGGGGGGGGCTCATCCAGAGAATCGTGCACTGCAAAGGCCTTGCAGGCAGCGCTCACTTACAGGAGGGCGGGTGAGCCCTGCGATGGAGACCAATAAATTATGCACGTGTCTACGTGCACAAAATTCACGCGGAATAATGCACTGCGCCAATGCGGTCCATTGTGAATAAAATAGACATCAACTCGTGGGGAAGGGTCACAGAGATTTTCCCCGACAGATTTCACTCCCGCCCCCCCCTCTCCCCACCGCCGTCGGTGACGCAGTCAAGCGGCAGCACGTTCGCCGTTTGTTGCAGAAGTTCAAATCCGGAGGGCTGCCCTGCCTGGTGCCACGGTAGTTTGTATTAACCGTAAGATAACTGTTGCCGCGGTAGTGTGTATTAACCGCAAGATAACTGCGTGCCGTCAGCTTCCCAGTGGACGTTACAGATCCCCTGAAGTCATTCGAATTGGGGTAGGCCATCATGTGCCGGAGTTGAGATCCAAATTTGGCAAATGACATCGCACATTTTGACGAAATTGGGGGTGACACATGGCCTCATCGCCCCCGACTGTCAAACTGCTGCAGACCGTGTCTGTGACACGTACGTACGTGTCTGTGACACGTACGTACGTGTCTGTGACACGTACGTACGTGTCTGTGACACGTACGTACGTGTCTGTGACACGTACGTACGTGTCTGTGACACGTACGTACGTGTCTGTGACACGTACGTACGTGTCTGTGACACGTACGTACGTCTGCAGAACTTTTTTCCCACGGTACGTCGCGAACCATGCTAATTGGAGATGCGGTAGACATAGTGCCTTCCGATAGCCTTGCGCTATGAGAATTGTGCGAGTACCAAATGTACTAAACAATTAATATTCTTTGACAAGTCCACTGCTGGATGACGGCCTCACCACATCAGCTCTGTCATGGAGGTTGCTGCTGGACCACGCTTCAACACGCCGGCTCCAGTGCGGGTCATCAAGCGTGGCTTGGAATCAAATTCAGGTTGCTGGGGTCATCACCAATGCATCACCGCTGCAGTTCTAGCCCTGCCATAGGAATAAGGAATTTTCTGCGAGTGGCTAAGGGTTGTGTATATTTGTATACATGAGCATCGCCGACGCACTCATTGAGGTGGCAGAGCTGCGTGCAGCTCTCTCTTCAACTTTCGGGAACGGTTCAAAGACAGTACAAGCTGGTGCAATACTTGACTTGGATGTAAAGTGAATGCAGCAGCCCCAACTTCCACAGCGGGGTCTTTGCTACATCCGACCAATTTATCGATTTTAAAACCAGTCGCCGGGGGAACTCGGGGCGAGATAACCACATCAGCAAATGGGGTGGACAGGCACAGGTCCAGATGCATTCGTCCTTGGCTTATGTGCAAGGTGGACCAACTGCTCAATGTCAATGAAGAAGAAAAAAAACACCATGAGCGTTTTTCCTCCATTGACCAAACGGTACAATATGGAGCCATCATCACCACCACCAGACATTGCATATCCCGCTGCTGGGTAAAGGCCTCCCCTGTGATGTTGCCAATGACCATGAACCCACGATCCATCCCGCTTCTGCATACGAGCTGATCTTATCGCTCCATCTCCCCGCGGTGGTTGAGATCTCAGGAGCGTTCGCTTCTTTGGCCCCCGCTCGGTCGCCAATCTCGTCCATTGGACATCATCCCTAGGCCCAAGCCAACTCCTCTCAAGTCAAATTGACGTCTCAAATGTTATGTTATTCACCGATGCACGGGTTCCTCATTGTATTTCAAGTCTCATTCCAAGCGTGGCCTGCCCTCCACGCTTCTTGAACACACACACACAGCGTTCATTATATATTTTGTTTGTCAGCATCCATGTTTCTGATCCACACGTCACAGTAGGTACTTTTAAACGATTGAAAAACCTTGCCTCTCATAGGGACATTCGCATATTGCGTATCATAATTCACATTTTCAAAAGCAATTCTCCCTGCTCTCACTCACCTCTTGATTTTATCGTCTTGATTCTGGCCCCCCTTTAATAGCCGACCTCAGGTGAATACACTCTGACGTGTTGTCAAGCGGGGTCCCTATATTTCACCTTATCTCAGGATGACGCGCAGCTACGGGAGACGTGCACGTTGAGGGCAAGACTGGGTCAAACGAGGTCTTTTCTTTTTCAGAGAGATGGGGTGAAAAAAAAGAGACAACGGTATAACAGGCGAAAGAAAGAGAGGAATATATTTGGGCCTAGGATGTGCACAGGGTAAACACGTCCGCAGCGCTGAACAGCCACGGGGGTGAGACAACAAACCCGTGACAACACCGGCCACGCAGACTCACCGCTTGGGACGTCGCCCCTCCATCTGGCGGCCTACCAAGACAGGCTCCATCCACAGCATCGTCTCCACAGCTGCCAGCCCCTGCCGCCGACACACACACACACACAGCTTGTGGGCAAAGCTGATGCCAGGGTGCGCTCTGCCAAGCGAGCGATCCATGCGGGCATCCAAGAGCGGGGGTTGCCACCTGTCCTGATTTTGCCAGGAAAGTTTGAGACAGTCGCTGTCCTGGGAAATCTGTACAAGTCTCGGTTTTTTGTTCGTTGCGTAATAATACGCCACCCGGATTTATAAGATGCACCACAAACTCATGCCCGGTGTCAATAAAGTGACACGAATGTTGGTCACAAACCTACCACAACCATTTGCTTAAAACCACATGGGAAAACAGTGTAGCTCTCCAATACCACGATATCATTCATCACGATATTTCCAGCATGGTGTGCACTTCGATCGGTAGCAATGCTATACGATGAGCAGCACTTGCTCACTTGGACGGCCACGTGGTTATCACGCCACAGGCTCCAGTGCTCTTCCCTGATGTGTGGAATTAGGCGTGACATAGCGTGACAACCGATGCAGGCCTAAGTGCACTTTCCCAAGGATAGCGTAACCCTATGCTCCCAGAACTGTGTCCAGAGTATGGATGGCGGGCAAAGGGAAATGACGAGAGGTGAGAGACGCGATGCAGAAAGCGGGCCCCAACGACAACTTGCAATAATTATTCGTGCCCTCCCTCCCTCCCGGTAATCCCATCTCCCACTCTACGGAGGCGCATGCAGGTAGAATTAATGTTTCAACGGAATATTGAGGAGCTCAGATCTGCGAGATATAAAAGAGGAGATTTTGTTTCATCAAGTCAGCCCTGTGTCATAATTGCTGCCAACAAAGACAAATATCCCCCGTATAAACTTAACAGACTGTAGGGGCAAGTGCTATTAGCGAGCACCTATGAAGGCCGGGACGGTACACGAGGGGGTGGGTGGCCAGCACCATGCCTCGCCCAGTGACGATGTTTACACGTCGAAACCAGGTACTAATTTGAGGCTGAGTCGACCTAGGGGAGGCCTAGGACCGGTTCAGATAATCGTCACTGGCATCGGCCGTGAGCGGGAATCGAACCCGGATCGCCGGGTTCGTAGCGCAGCGCGCTAACCGCTACACTCCCCACGTAATCGCTGCATACGCGCACACACGCACGACTGGTCTGCGTGCTGCCAATGAAAATCCGAGAGAATAAATCCCGCACAATGAAGCCACCCTTGTGCGCGTTTCTTTGCACCCGACACATGCACAATGAAGGGCGGTGGGGCATCTGCAGCGCGCGGGGCAGTAAGTGGGGGTTATTCGGCACCAAAGGAGCCACTGCGCTGGCCAACACCACAGCACACGCGGCGTTTCAGTCACAGCGTCGCTCCCCCGTCCCCCGCCTGCGTCTCCGCTAATCCCGACGGGGACACAGCTGCTCCGGGGGAATCGGGCTCACTGTTCAAATTATTTCAAGTGCCTCGATTTGAGCGTGCCTCTATTGAGAACCCCGTAATGGAGCCACCGCTCTCCAGCACACAAAGCATCCAATGCAGAATCACTCCCTTTTTTTTGTAAAAAAAAAAAACATTCTTTGTTGTTGTGGGGCTCGGGCAAAAGTGTTTTTTGTAAAATTAATAAACCCCTTCCCTATTGAAAACTCCGCTAACAAACAAAAAAAAAGATTTTCTGGCAAGACTGTGCCGAAGACGTTGGTTGCAAAAAAAGCTTAAGTAAGATAGCAGGTGCACACATGGCTTGAGGAGACGTTAAAACGCTGGGTACAAACCATTAGACTTAAACAGAGAATGGCCTGACGACGACATCACAAGAGATTGGGGCCAGAAATATGTGGCCACGACTTGAGCATATTGACAACAAGACCGAGGAAAGTGGGAACAAATCACAGTGTGCGGTGGACACCTACAGGGCTATCTGCCCATGGATCGTGATGATGATGTTTGACGATGACACACCATTGGGAAATTCCCCAAAATACAAAAACCACAATAATTTTCGCAATTTGGCTCGCTCACTCACTCGCTCACCCACTCACCCAGCCACTCGCTCACTCGCTCGCTCACCCACTCACTCGCTCGCTCGCTCACCCCCTCACCCACTCACTTGCTCGCTCGCTCACCCCCTCACTCGCTCGCTCACCCCCTCACTCGCTCGCTCGCTCACCCCCTCACTCGCTCGCTCGCTCACCCCCTCACTCGCTCGCTCGCTCACCCCCTCACTCGCTCGCTCACCCCCTCACTCGCTCGCTCGCTCACCCCCTCACTCGCTCGCTCACCCACTCACTCACTCACCCGCTCACTCGCTCACTCACTCACTCACTCGCGTTGAGCAATATGGAGTGTGCCAGATTGAAATGACATCTCTTGAGTGATTCCATTGCCCCCGGGACAACGAGGAAGTACACAGGGATATTTTCTTTTTAAAATCACGACCTTTCATCAACTCGCACTGCCCAGAGTGGCGCAGTGTGGTCAAACAACACCCATGACCGACATTGGCGTGGTAAAGCCCTCATCGAGCGGCGGATTGATAGATATATAAATTACGATTCAAAATTATTATTCATGAACACTGAAAATGCGTGCAACGTAGCCGTGCGGCCCTTTTGTCAATCCACTGCTGGATAAGAACCTCCCCACGATGCACGGATCACGGGGGTTATTTGACCATACTTCACCACGCTCATCAGTACGGTTTATCTTCTTGGTTCTTTCGGTAAAGTCACGTAGAAGGGAAGTAATAAAATAATAAAAATAAAACATAATAAAACAATTCTCACGACGTTGCGGCCACAACGCAAGCCACAACGCAAGCAGCCATCCTCACCTGAGGACGGCTGCTTGCGTTGTGGCCGAAACGTCGTGAGAATTGTTTTATTATGTTTTATTTTTATTATTTTATTACTTCCCTTCTACGTGACTTTACCGAAAGAACCAAGAAGATGAATCCCTGCAGTCACGAAAGCTTTAAATCGAAACAGTACGGTTTAGTGAAGGCAGGTGGAGGGAGCACAGATGTGGAAGCAAAGAGGAACAGTACTTGATTTAAAGCTTTCGTGACTACAGGGATTCATATTCTTGTTTTTTTATTATTTTATATTAATATTATGTTATTATTTCCCTTCTACGTGACTTTTTTTTTTACCTAGGGGAGGCCCAGAATAGGAACAGTACTGCCCACTACACAGAACTTACAGCCCTACGACAACCTGTTTGCGCATGGTGGGTCGCGCATACAAGCGCTATCCGGATTCAACACTGCTTAGCTTCCGTGAGCTGACGAGATGGGTGCATTCCGGGTGATATGGGCACGGGAAAAATTCAGGCCACCTAAAATGCGGCGTGACATTATGGGTCAAAAAAGAGGCACGCCATCGATCAATGTCCAACGCATATGCTGGAACATATGGTCACTGAAAACGGAGGGTGGTTCTAGGAGCTTCAACCGGTGAACAAATGTACATGTGCTTTAATCAAAACTGCATTGATTTCCCCTGACATCAATCGGGCATCGAATTATACACACACACGTTTCGAGTTATGTGACAGCCACAGCCAAGATCAAAGGTGAAAGTCAAGATTCATGCCTAATGCACTTTTCAAGCCGCCATTCTATTGGCCGCGCGGCCCAAAAATCTGCATCGATCGCTCACCCGAGCGCGGGCCAATCACAGATAGGAAGGAAATAAACGAGACATCCGGGCTTGCCGACCCCGATTAGAATCTGCACTCCTCGGGTCCGGCCCAGAGAGGCATTAAGGATTCTCTGCGACACATTAGCCGCCACACACAACAGCATCATTAACTTGAGCTACGGCCTCAAAACAAAGTCGGCCTCTTTATGAAAAAGGGGGTGCGGGACAAGGCTGCTTACGCACGCGCTTGACCCCAGACTGTAACGAAGATGTGCAGGGCGCTGGAGCGCATCTGTGAACGTTCGAGGAGAGATGCTGTCTTACCGTCGACTGCAGAAGGGCTTGCATCACCCTTGGCCTGAACTTCAATTTTACTGTAGAACTGAAATAGGAAAGCGAACACAAAAGAAGAAGCCACACGAAAATTAGACCTTTTATCACATTTACAATAGCCCAGCCATTAAAACAAAATCAATACAATCTCACGGAACCGGGATGGTTATTTGCGAATCCAAGAAAAAAAAAGGTAGAAACTTTGTGGCATTATCAGAGCACTTTATCTGAAGAAGCAATGGGTAAGTATAGTTTTCATGACGCTTTGTCAATACAGAAGGACAAAGCTTTGACAAAAGTTGAGTTGCTCGACAAGACATTATTGGCAGCCCTGAAAATGCTACTGTCACTGAGGACCATGATGCTGGCATTGTGCGCCAGTGTAACCCCTTGCAAGCACAGCTCTCCGAAAAGCCTGATGATGCCAAATCGGTTTGGCCTTAATGCATTATGCAGAACACAATCAGCGGTTCCAATGGTCGTCTTGTCTTGGGTCACCGTCGAAATTAATTTTAGCAAATGTGACTGACTGGGAGCAGCAGTGATACGGAAGAGATGGGCAACTGTGGACAACGGTTTTTGTGTGTTATGTGAAATGTATGGTTTTCTGGTCTTCACTCTCTTTCTGTTATGATGGGTTTCTCTCGTCATTTGCATATTGGGCAAAGTCACCAGCTGATGCACGCCACGTGTGTACACACAAGCTTGTTTGTACAGACACGTTCACGGTGCATTTAACCTTCCCTCTTAACAGTTTCCTAACATTGTGTGTGCACATTTGTATATATGTATGCACTGCCGTGACGGATTACATCACACACACCGCACGCAGCTGGAATCCCAGCAAAGGATAACATCAGTGATTAGCGAAATCCGAACCTATCCTGAACCTTCACTACATCGACTCAATCTGTTGCGATGTCTAAATATCAGTACTGGACAAAGGTGGCAAAAAGAGTGTACTGGCTACACATTGCTGCCGATCAGACATGGTTAAGAAAATAGTCGACTGCTATTCCACCAAAGTAGCTTGGAATAGTCAATTGGCATGCTGGGGTAAAATGCGAGTACTCCCACATTCTCCAAGACTTCTGGCCAGCAGGCAAAGTGACCCCTTAGAGGCGCTCTCCAGACCTCCCTCTGGTACAAGCCCTTCTCTGCCAGCAGTGGCGTTGAGCGAGCGACTGCGGCAAGGCTGTGCCGTCAAGTTGAAAATCTCGCTTAAACTGGCTGACAACGGGGCTGGCGCACTCCGTACTTGGATGCAAATCTCGGCGAAGACGGCGCGCAATGGCGCATCGGTCTATAACCCTCGCGGTCCCTGCGGCCCTGTTGCCGTTAAGAGAAGTGCGCAAATGGCAGCCCACGACGCGGGACGTGGCTGGCAGGCGCAATTCCCGGACGGCGCTTTTAGCGAGCGAATCTCCCCCAAGCAAAGCGAGCGAAGATGCCTGCAGGTGAACACGTCAGGGAGAACCGGGGAGTGGCCGAGCGGGAGTTTACCTCGTGCAGGATGCAATCGTCTGGATCGGGGTAGAAGGCGTTCCCGTCCTCGGAGCGCATGCACAGGGTGTGTCGAGACGGGTCCAGCCCCTTTTTCTGCGCACGCCCGCAAAAGCAAAGCGCGACGAAACAGAGGGACGGCATGAGCGACGAGCAGCGATGAGCAGCGCGCTGGCGTGGCGACACATAGTCTTGCGCGGGCGGGCGGGAACGCTCCTTGGCGGCAAGTGGTGCCGCTCACAAAAGCTCAAGGGCCTGCTCACTAGCATAGTCCCTTGTACACGCCACGCATGTCAGTGCTCATGTCGCGAACGCGATCGGTGACGATGATATTTTTCGGTAAAGAGTTTTCTTTGTTGTCTTGGTCAACGACGGACGACTCTCAAGTGGATGAAAATCTCCAAGCATTGCGATTGATGATGACCACCCACCAGAGACGAGCGTACGACTGACTACGATGAAAACGAAAAAAAATGAAGATATGGACCAAAAAACTATAGCAACATTATTACAAGCCGAAGTGCGCAGAGGAGGATAAAAAAATACATCGTCATTGACTAAATGTGTATATGGACAGATTACCAGAGTTCACAGATTTGCGAGGAGGTTGGGCGGGGGGAGGGAATTGAACAACCCTCACAACAACATTTAAGAGTGGGGTTCTTCGAGCCTCTCTGCTCGTTCCATGCCGGCCAGACATCCTCGAGGAGGAGGAAGTCGCCACACTTTACCCCAATACACGCGACCTTGCAAGACGGAGCAACTACGGTGTACCCGTTTGTTCTGTTGGGTGGACAAAGGTTGGAAGGGGGGGCAATTTTTTTTAAAAATGTGCCCATTGTATCTAGTGCCATGCCGGGCGGTTGATTGGACCAGTGATCTTTTGATAGCGAGCCCGATGTGCTAATCATTACAGGCAGCCTCGCTGAAGCTGTAATGAATTCGGGAATGACAGCGACTCCCCCCCCCACCCCCGACTGTGCTCGGCATGATTAAAAATCCCCCGGTTAATCACACTGTTTCTGATAATGAAATTCTGCCCTAGTTTTTTGTCAAGAGACATTTGTCCCGATTACTGTCGTACTTATGTTAAAAAAAAAATCGCATGCAATTTCTCACTTACATACGAGGACAGCACCTCTGTTCTGCACATCACAGCTTTAAATCCGCGTGTTTCAACAATCCGAGTGATATGCGTTCAGTTACCACATTTCAAAACAACTTGCAGGCTGACACGCGTCGCAGCAAGCATTCCCACAAACATGATGGCCCAGTGATAGCAACGCGGTTTATGAAAATTCTTTCATTTGCGTTCCACCTTATCTTTCAACAAAGTGCTGCGTTCGCTTACTTACGCTTCAAAACAACTGACAGACAGACAAGCGTCGCACCGAGCATTCCCACACAAACAAATTTAACAGAAGGGGCTTAAGCCCCAAGGAGAGCCCTCACACGGAGCTGTAATGAGTTGGGCCCTGTGCTTGGGATGTTTGCCCAATTCCTCAACAGGCATTTTTCTGGTCTGGGAGCAAACTTGAGCAACTGGGGTAGAAAAAAATAACCACTCAGTGGTTATTATGTCTCCCCGACAGACCTGGTCTTCACCTGAGGATGGCTGCTTGCGTTGTGGCCGAAACGTCGTGAGAATGATTTTATTATGTTTTGTTTTTATTGTTTTATTATTTCCCTTCTACGTGACTTTACCGAAAGAACCAAGAAGATGAATCCCTGCAGTCACGAAAGCTTTAAATCGAAATTTAACCACTCAGTACTCTGAAAAACAACCAGCAACCTCTTTCAGCTGTAACGCCATACATATGTCTAGGAACAATGCTGACGTTTTAGGGGGAGTAGGGGACGGGCATGTAGCCATGGGGCACCATGGATGCCCGTTCAATGCGGAAGGACAGCAAATAATAATAAAAATATCCTTTATTTAAGACACACTCAGGAGTCCTGCATTGGGATGTTTGGCCATAACCACTCATACCCCATGCATATACAAAGTAATGACACTCGTGGTAAAATCAAAATCCCATTGTTGCCACTGCAATCACTGGACCACCATGCAGCCCAAGACAGCAACACCTGGTCTTCCTGGGCAGTCTCCCAAGCAAGCACTCAGCAGACTCAACCCTGGTTATATTCTGTGATTCGACGCGATTACGAGAACAGGCTGTGTAAGGGACTTTTCCCTCTGTCCTAAGGGTTGGTTTGAGGGCGAATAGCTGCTTCCCCTGCCCGCTCCGCTCCCACGCTCATGACCCGCAGTTGGCTTATGTGGTGGTGGTGGTGGGGACGCGTGCCGCGCAGTGCCACTCGGCGTAGATCCCGGGAGCACGCTTTTGGTTACGGGTTATTCGGCCGCGGCACGAACCTTGCAGGCGGTGAGCAGCACGTCGTGGTTGCGGTAGAGCGGCAGCACTAGGATGCTGACGACGGTGCCGCCGCCGCCGCCACCGCCACCGTCACCGGGCAGCGACACCTCCTCCCACGTGCCCAGGTCGTGGCGGCAGAGTGCGCCGTCCAGCGACGGGCTGCAGCCGCTGCGCCGCTCCGAGGGCTCCCCGTCCGCCCAATCCTCCGCGTCGTCACGAGCCTGAAACCACGGGCGCGCTTGTGGCAACTGCGGGAGCAGTGGGCGACCTCTAACCTTAACTCTATAGAGCAGGGGCGGGTAACCGAAGGCAACCTGGACCGGATATGGCCACTAGTTTATATCATAAGGCCCACCACCACTTGAGGCATAACACTTCGCAACGGCCTGCAAACGATATTTATCCATTCACTGCAAGGATGAAGATGCAAGTAAAAAGAATAAAAAGCTCTAATCTTAGAGAAGCGCATACAAACACGAGTTCGAAGTGTCGTTAATTTAAAAAGTATTCTAAAATTACAATCAGGAACTCCGTCATAATGCTCTAGTTATGTCCCTGGGTTGATGTTGTCTTGAACAGTAAGGGAGTGACTTGAGTTCCATAGAGTTCCATAGCTACACACCTGCCATAACACTGAAGTCAAAGTTTTCTTGATCGAAGCTTCAAACGTACGTAGGACAGCTTGGCACTTTCGTGAAGGGGCTTATAAGAATAGCATCGCCTGCAGCCTCACGGGTGATGGCAGCGGAGGAGGGCGTTATAAGCCGGTATAATAATACTTAAGATTTAGAGCCCCGTGTCAACGCACTGATGGATGCTGCCCTGCTGACGCAGTGCCAATTCAGGTGGATAGTTTGACCATACTTCACCACATTGGACAGTGCAGGTTGATAAAGGTCGGGGGCGGGGGGGGGGAGATGTCCAGGATTGGTTTGGGTATCATGTGCCACCGATGTTAGCCGTGGCTGGGAACCGATCTCGGGTGTGCTCACAGCGCAGTGCGCTAACCACTGCGTCACCGCTCTCCCCATATGCTGGTAGATTGCATGACATTTAGCCTAAATGTCTCCCGGGTAGTCGTGGAGGTGGGCAGGAGGGGGCGACTGACAAAATCAACCAATCGACAACACCCACATCTATCTGCCTGCGGGCCAGGGAAGATAGGTAATGACACACATATTTTAAGTGATTAACGACAAGAATTTCCATTATTCAAACACTTTACGATTCGTGTCCTCGGGTTTTCATTTAATGGATGATTTTTAAACATTACCTCCATTTATACAACCACATTCAGGAGCTAACATTACAATGTATAATATTAACATCTCTCAAGGTCCAAAAATGCAATCATTTTATCGTCTCCAGACTGGATTATTGCAGCAAGAGAAGGACCATGGAACCCAGAAGTTGCTTGACCGGTGCGCCTGTGAGTGCACAGCCCTTCCCAGCTTGCCTTTCAGCCAGGCCAGAACGGAACCCGTGTGTGCATGAATCAATCTCAACGCAGGAAATTAAATTCTGTTCACTGCCCAGCAATCATAACAACAATAGCTGGCAGCGGCTTTCATGAATAATAAACTAAATGGTAATCACACACACGCACACACGCACGCATACTTCATGGCCACGCGGTTGCACTTCATCCATAACAATTCGAATTGAATGAATAATCTTTATCGTGAGGCTACATTACCCCAGTACTCGGATCCCTTCGCCAGAAACATCTTCACTGCCTATCTCTCTCCTCTCACCGCACTCCACTCCCCTTTATACAGCCTCTGCTCCAGCAACCAAGGCATTCTGTCGAAGACCCAAGTCAACCTTTGCTCGGTGGAAGATCACTCAATGCCTAAACAGGTGTTATGGGGCCTGCGGTCACTTGTTGTGGGCTGCAGAGGGCAGTGAAGCAAAATCCATAAATTCACCAACCCACACTGGCCAGTTGTGTCTAAACAAATAACGCAGTGAGAAACGGTGTCAGGAGGCTATCATCCAGCAGTGGACTGATAAAGGGCTGCATGTGTCCATTCTGATTCTAGTCGTCCAGCAGCAACAGCGCTCCACCATTGGCGATCATGCACCGTATATTGCTTGCATTTCCACATCACACGTGCGTGCACTGCTATAATTGGCAGGATCACACGCACACGGCTTCCAAACAGAACTCACCTCGGCATTCGCCCCGTACGAAATCTGGGACGTCACCCCGTCGTCCCTGAAGATCTGCAGGAAAGATCAATGCCACCTTATGTAGCTTGTTGCTAGACAATGCCAAACAAGCAAATGTCAAAACACACGATGACATTGCAAGGGAAACCACACTGCTGGCTTCAGATTAGCCCCTTCGATGATACTTATTGCAGCGCAGGAGTACAGCCAGCATTATAATCCACATCTGGACAACACAGCAAGCTCCGGTATAAAGAGAACGCCTCTGAATGTGGTCCAAGCGTGGAAAAAAAAAACTCCACTTTGATTAGCAGAATGAATTCTTCTCGTGCCCACAAAGTCCATGCTAACCACATTGGAATTCACATTGTTTCCTCGGCAATTTAAAGGGAGGAAGGGGATTGTGCCATGGTGAAATGGTTAGCACACTGAGGCTTGAAATCCTAGAGGTTGCCGCTTCGATTCCATCTCCCTGCGCAGCAGTTGAAACACCGAGATAAGCTTTTGAAATCCCCCCCCCCGTCCATGTCCACCCAGGAGTAATAAATGGGCACACAAAAGTGAGTTGTATTGGCAGGTCGCGTGTGATGGAGTATCATGTGGGAGATCCCACATCTTCTAAGACATCTGGCCAGCATGGAAGAGCAGGCCAATTAGCCTCTAGAGGGCCTCTCTAGATCTCCCTCGAGTGGAGGCCCTTCCGCCAACAGGAGCGCGAGCGAGGAATTTCAGGGTCCACACCTTTATCTTTGAATAAATATCTCGTATTCAGTAGATCTACAATACGGTTGTGTGAAGCTTGGTTAATGCGAAAAATAGGATTTTACTACTGGTCTGGATAAGAGCCTACGCTAAGCGAATTACAAAATTAGCTCCGACTTCATCTTTTGGAGCCATTCTCATCACTGCTCGCTGCAAGAATTCTAAGCAAAACATTTCACCTCTTCAGGACCGTTCCAATTCGACCTCGCTCTCCGCCCTCAACCTGCCCTTGAAACCCCCTCCCTCCGCTCACCCCCATCCTCATCACTCCTCCAGATAGAAGCCACCGCTAATAATAATGCTGGGCCTGGTGCCCGAGGCTCCATCCAGGCGGAGGAGGAAGGTACCTGCGAGGCTCTGGGTCGCTCCTTGCCGGGCTTCTTGCCGGAGCCATCGAGGCCGCGCAGCGACGCGAACACGCTCTTCTTCTTGCTCAGCCCCCGCGAGAATGTGCGCTTCCTAAAGCCCGTCTCCTCCCGCGCGCACACCTGCACGGCGGAACACGCGGAGACACGCCGTGGGGGGGGGGGGGGGGGGGGGCACAACTCGTGCCGTTAGCACCCCGGTGCCGAGATGTTAGCTCCCTCGCCTGGTATGCAGGAGGTCGTGGGTTCGATCCAGACCCTGACACCTGCTGTAAATGTGGAGTTTGCGCGCCTTCTCTCTCCCTGTGGTCGCATGGATTTTTCTCCGGGTCCTCACCGTTTTTCCCTCCACATTTAGAATGAACGTAGGTATTTGGCTGCTATAAAGGTCCACATGATAAGCCACTTGGTTGAGCTTTCATTTGTGGCCAGGTCAATAAAAAAAAGCTATATAGCTCAGTGGTAAAATAATATAATTTAGTTGCCGCCCGGCACGCGGTGACTTCTGCGATTCACGAATTTCACAGTTTGATGACTCAATGGCACTCACCGCTAAGCCCGCCCCCATCTCCTCACCCCTCCTCCAGTGCACCTCCAATCAGCACGGTTGGCTAAGTACGGTGAGAAAGACGTTCAACATACATACCTACGTAAGTGTAGTAACTGCGACTCCCGTTATTACTTCAAAGGGTAAACCGATCGTCTCTTCCGGAAATATCTTAGCCTGCGTCCTCATTCAGACCATCTCGTCACAGGCAGTGCTTGGTGGGCAGCTAATCGTGGTGATGGTCATGCTAGACGATGTTTGTCCACTCATAGTCATCACTGAATATGACGAAAAAAAATTAAACGCTTCGTTGATGAATATTTTCGGCATAAATTTGTTCTGGCCAGAGTGGCTCAGCGAAGTGGGGCAGCTCACAATCGAAAGGTTGCGAGTTATAATCCTGGTTGGGGGTTGACTCAGCCCATCATCCTTCTGGGGTCTATAAAACGAGTACCAATTCGTGAAGTCAACAAAGCGGTTGTCCTCTGGATACACTCACCCCTGCCAGAATGAATGTGAAATTTCCACCACTGGCTCAAGGTTGTAACCAGGATGTGGGAGGGTACAGCCTCCAGGCTCATTTCAAGGTAGAAAATCACTTTTAACTTTCGACATCTGAACTGTGTTAACAAAACGGGACACTGGGCACGGACTGCCCGAGCAGGCCCGTCTGCTCGGCACACCGGCGCCGGTACTGACCAGCGCGTGGAAGGAGGAGGCGGAGAACATGCCGAGGCGGTGCATGGCGTGCTTGACGGGCCGGCTCACGTAGGCCAGCACCAGCTTGGGGTTTGGCGGCTCGCGACCCTGCAGGCTGGCCAGGTAGCAGCGCAAGCGGAACGCGTCCACGCTGTACCTCTCCAGGTTGCGCTCCCACTGCGACACCTGCGTAGAGAGCGCACGCCCCGGGGCTCGGTTTTAACGGCGCCTTCCGCCGGCGTCGACGCGCGACCGGCATACGGTGAGTGCGCCGCGGCTCGGGTTCGCCAAGCGACCGTGTGGGCCTCGAGGTACGCCATCTGTTTAGAATGAACACATTCGGTATCGCAGTTTACAGGCTTTCATCAATCAACGGCTTGGATGAAGACCACCCATGACCATACTTCACATCGGGCTGATCCTGTTGTGGGATTGGTAAACGGGATATCCCACGATGGGTTCGGATATCGCTCACCGCTGATGTTATCCGCGTTTGAACTCGGGTCGTCGGATTCACGGCGCATTTCGATAACCGCTGAGCCCCCCCCTGGATTCACCCCCACTCATGCAGTACTGCAGTGCAAAATGCTGCCACCAGCGGTTTCAAATGAGATGAGGTGGTGGGGTTGTTCGCAGGGAATGGAGTTCTGAAACACGCTCAGCTTTTCGGGAAACCCTTTGGATAAACAGCAAAAGCTTCGACAGCAGCCCAACAACCCTGACGCACAAGCGGAGCAAAGTGCAGCCAGATGTCTCATCCAGTGTGGAAAGCCAGCAAAACCAGTTCAGGGGCATGTCCCTGTGGTTATTTCATTATTTATAAGCAACTCCACGTTTAGTCGATTTTTTGCAACGCCCAATCTAGACAGGGCGCACACGTGTAATTAGCGCGTCCGGCTATGGGGGGGAGGGGGGAGAAGTGGGCATGGAACAGTACCAGAGCGACCACATAAGTGAGGCTCAGCGGTAATGAAAGAGGAAAAGTGGTGGTGCGACAAAATTTGCTTTGCCAATGCCAGCGACTGTTTGCAGCAGGGATAAGCAAATGATGCAGGGGCTCTCTGGAACTGCTGCTGGGCGTGGTTGTTTTTGCACGCGAGAAACAACTTTGAGGAACCAGGCAGCCGCGTGCGTGACTTTGAGAGCCATGGCGATTCCACATTGGGTGCGGCTACAGGTACAAGCAACTTCTCGGAACACGAACAGTGGGGGACACGGCCAGCCCTTGGAGTCATTTCTACTGCGACGCGCTAAAGCGTCCGTAAAACCTCGCCGAGACCAAAGGTCCCGAGGGAGAGCCGAGTTAGGTTAAGTACAGCAAAACGACGGTGCAGTACCGTCAATGAGAAAACAAAGAACCTAGGAAAATGCCAGTGGAAAAATGTACCGCGGGGTCAAGAGAGTGTTGAATAACACTCCAGGCAGGAGATGGAGCAACGAAATGCGGTCGCGCGCATGTGCTGGGTGGATTGTTACGTCGCAACGGAAGACGATGTCGCGTCCAGCAGTGGATTGACCATGCCAATAGCGATGATGGGTTGACAAGGTAAAAATATTGAGTTATATATAACGTCATTACATATTCATTAGTATGACATATACCTGTTGAAAAATCGCTCGTATTATTAATACACAGAGGGAAATAAGAGTTGGGGGGATTGATGCCGCGGCAGTCACCCGCACTGCACCATGAACACAGCGCCCCGAGTTACATTCCCAACCGAGGAAAACATTTCGTGGCAACTGCGATCTAACACCGGTCCCGACACCCCGTTCACCTCCCAACACTTGCCAGCGTGGTGAAGTATGGTGAAATAATGCCCAACGACCAACACACCATGGAGGGACCTTCAATGAGCAGTGGATTGGCAGAATGTGTTGTAAATGATTTGTTTAATGATAAACATATGGAGGAATATGTTGGAACAGTACATAGAGATGCAGCAGATGCAGGACTAATGAGGTCATGAATGAAAGTAATGCCACCCATCAATACACTCTATCTACCATCAGCTCTGTATGTCCTGTCAGTCACAATTATCATCATAGGTCAGTATACCTGGGTTTGTTGCTCTTGATTATCGAGATCGGTTTCCCAAAAGCAGTGCACTATGTGCTCGCACGCTTCGGTTTCATCATTAAATACCAATCCGGTAGTTTCTCAGCTGTGCTTTCCAATTGTGTTGCTCCAGCAAATATTGCCTTTTCATTGAGCCCAACTTTGCAGCCTTCTTTACCCACTTCTTTAATCGTTTCCTGTAGCTCCTCTCCATAGGTTGATACGAATTACTAAATCATTGGCAAATATGAGATCAACACTGGGCTTTAAAAAAAAAAAACTCCTTCTCAAATCTGCTTGGCCATCTCTCGTACACACATAAGTAACTAACATGGCAGCTGGCCTTGTCGTCTCCATTATTGCTGACATGTTATTTACACTTAATAAAATAAATGCAGGAGATGACCAGGTGTGGATGGTTACAAGGCATTCCCCACCCCAACTCTTCCCTCACATCGATTCATTTACTTAGCCTCCTGCGGTTTTCGAAATGTCAAATGTCAGTGCTTGGGGGCTGCCAAGCACGGCACATGGGCTGCATGCCTGTCTACCAGCTCCAGGTAGCAGGGCAAGTTGGAGCACGTAATCGTAGCCCACTTAAAACGAGCAGCGCGGCGAATTTCAAGCGCTCGGGTTACATCTGGCGAATGCAGTGCCTGGGTGTACGCACGGAGCCGCCTGCTTTTCCCGTGCTGACGTTAATAACGCGGCGACGCAGGGCATCGAGATCGTACAGAACGAGAAGTGAAGACGTTGGAGAGAGGATGATGACGGATGGAACACTGTGACAGAAAGAATAAAAGAAGCAAGACTTGCGATAGGACGGTCATGTCGGAAGAATGGCAGCGAAGAGAAATCAAACAAAAGCGATGGCAACTACAGGATTAGAATCTTTATATAGACCGGAGGAACCCAACGAGCCATGAAGCTCTTTTCACAGTTGTCCAGTAGACCGAGAAAATAAGTATAACCCGTAAAAACAAAGTTTTTCACTATAAATCCTTTATATGCGTGGCGGCTAGAGTCCTCTCGTCCTCTGGCTTGAGATGGCTGCCACCTATGGGTCAGATGATTGTCTGCCAGTATTAAGCAATTGGTAATTAAATATTTAATGTTTTCCCTAAACAGTGTAAAATTTTGGGAAAAAATTTCACGAACATTAATTGTCTCGCACAACGAGTCTGTGTGCAAAATGTCAGCTCGATTGGATCACGGGAAGTGGGTTAAAAAACGACCGAAAGATTTGCACGGTCGTAAGCAAGCAAGCAAGCACGCAAGCACGCAAGCAAACAAGCAAGCGAACTTAATATAAAGAATTTAAAAATACGGACTCATGGAGTGGAGGAGGAGGCGGCACTAACGCAGAGAGCAACTGGCACGGAAGCAACAGCAAGAGATGGAATACGACGGCAATGATCGCCGACAGCGGACGACTGCTGCTGCCGGAGCGTTCAACAGCCGCGGTGGCCTCCGTAACGGAGCTGAACAGGAAGCGGGAGAAGAGAACGTGGGCGCACGTGTGATTGTGCGCCGGATGCCAAGTGGAAGGGAGCGCGCGCGCGGCCTGTGGAGCCGTGCGTGGTCGAAGCGGGCTGCCGATTAAAAACAGTAACCTCCGCGAACCGTGGCGGGGCCCAGAGTTGTGCGTCTCGGGTTATTTTGCTTGCGCCCGAAGCCAGCCAGCCGTCTGCGTTTAATTAAATCCCCGCAGAGCAAACGCCGCACCGCACTCAAAGAGGAGGAATGCTGGGGTGGGGTGGGGGGGATTCTGCAAACACAGAGACCCAGACTCCTCGAGTGCGCGTTTTTTCCCGCACCGCGGACGAAAGAGATCTTCGCGGCTCATCGGATTCTCCCAGTCTCAAAAAAAGAATCCGATTGTGAAGCAGCCCTGACAGCGCGGGTTGCAATACAAACCGAGGAAAAATGAGCTGGATACATATTCGGCGGCTGTGTAAGTGTGTGAATAAGTGATGGTTTAAAACAACAACAACAAAAAGCCACTCCCTACGGAGGTGGGGCCAGGTGACTCGGAGGTGCGGGTGCAGAGCCAGCGCTGAGCGATCACCGGCTTCAAATCTGAATCCAGGTCGTGACCCAGGATCTAACCAAGGTCCTTCCCAAGTGCAGTGAAGTGATGTGCTTAGTTAATTATCGTGCAAAAAATTGTTCGAACATTAAATTTGATTTTTTTTTTCACGAAGCTCTGAAAACTTCCAACAATGAAAAGATCCGTTTGACTGCCATGCTACGGACATTCGCCCCCCCCCCCCCCCCCGAGTGTGTAGATACAAAAAAAATGGAAATTAAAGGGCTCTCATAATTAGTTCCACGATATCTCCCTCCACGTTCAGTTTCTCTGTCACAAGTGGCGAGTTCAGAATGGATTCGTCACCTCCCGACGCGTTGACAACGCATTCGGGATATAAAAATCAGCGGCGGCGGGGGTTGACAGCACCGCCCTCTGAACCTGCCTGTGCAAGGATGGCCTTACGGCTCTTGGGCTCCGAGACGGTGAGCAGCTGCAGCTCGGCCATCTTCCGCATCTTCTCGTCGAGGTCGATGCGGTGCTCGAGGTCCCGCACCTCGGAGGTCAGCGCCTGCGCTGGGTCCACGCCGATGCCCGAACCGCTGGCGCCGCGGCCACCTCTGCAGCTCCGGCCAGCGAGCGCCCAGGCGCAGGCCGAGTGGACGGCCGTTACCCAGTTCTCCAGCTCGATCTGGCTCTCGGCCTGCGGGGCGATATACAGAGGCACAAACGCAGCGTTGGCACGGGCGCAGTGCCACAGTCGCAGCGGCACGATCGCAGCGGCAGGATCACAGTGGGCACAATCAGTGGCACGATTACAAGAGCACCATCACGTATCGCAGTAGCGGCACAATCACGGTGGTTTGATTACAAGTGGCACAATCGTAACAGTGGCACGATCACAGCAGTGCTTCGTGGGTCTCTCTCCCCTGATGCGTGAAACTTGTGAGCCACTCGCTCCGTACGGTCACACAAATAAACAGAACACAGCGAAAACACGAACACGGTCTCGCCCCCCCCTCCGCGCCTCCATACACGACGTCGCTTGTTTGGCTTGGACTTATTCAGCTGGACCGTTCATCCAGTGTATACAGAGCTTTCATGCTTCGAGTCAAAGTTCAGGGCCCCGATTCATGTGTCGGTGACTGTTGATTTTCGTGAAGATATTTTTGGGGAGAAGAAAAAATGTCAATGTCTCCATCACCAACAATGGGATAATTCGCCTCGGCAATGTGTTTTGAATGTGACTCAAAGCCTTTGAAACCGACACCTATGAGACTAATGGCCTGGACCTGTTGAGTAATAACTCATTAAAAACATCTGGGTCTAATTAGAAGTATAATTCCACTGCCAGATGCGTTTGACCTACCTCGACAGCAAGAAATGCAAAACAAGAGACCATTCTTTGGTTCTAACAGCAAAGATGATTTTTGGTAAAAAAAAAAAACTTCCAAAGTCTAAGATAACATCAACTGAATGGACTTGTGACCCAGGTCTCCGTTGTAAGAGAGACGTTTCATCTCAATGGGCTATCAGCTGGTTTAAATAAAAGGTTGCTCGTGGTCTTGTCTGGAATTAACACGGCATCTTGAGCGAGGAGACCCGGCCAGATCTGTGTTTTCGTTCAGTCATCTGATAACATTCACATAGTCATCGCTCTATTTTGATTTTCCGACCAAGGATGCAGACCGTGCAAGCATGCGGGCCTCTGCCTGCCGGGCGAGCCCCCAAAAACATCACTGACAGCCGTTCATCGGACCCTCCGATTCACTTTCGGTTTTGCGCCGCGTGTTCCACGGAGCGCCGTCCGGTGTTTTCGCTCCACGTGCCGAGGAAGCTCCAAGCGGCATCCTCCGCACAACGAAGCGAGCATCACCGGCACGCGGCGCGGGGACGTCGGACATCGTGCCGGACGACGCGCGGCGCAACCAGACAGCACGTCACGCAGCGCCACTGTGAAAACCTGAGCGGTCGTGCCGCTTATCTGCGACCGATTCCACCCACGCCGTTTTATCTTTTGACAATAAAAAGACGGTGTGGGGGGGGGCGGGGCGGGGTGGGGAAGGAGGTCACGATGGTCGAGTGGACTCGCAGGGAGGGACGGAGAGAGGCAAGGGCAGAGGAACGGGACCTGGAAGCAGAAGACCTCCCCGTGCGCGTTGCTGAGGCAGAAGATGAAGTCCCGCTTGGGGTGCTCAGGCAGCGCCTGCACCAGCGCGCCCTCCACGGCGAGCGATCGCTTCGGCTCGGGGTCCTGCTCCGAGCCCGTCTGCCCGGCCGCCTCCGAGAACAGCAGGCTGCAGCCTGCACGGGGGCGCCCGCACGACACCGCCGGGGGGACACGGTCACGCTCGGTCAACGGAGCATCAGACATTTCTTTGAGAAGACCGTGTGTGCGAAAGTGCGTGTGCGCATTTGCGCCGTAGCGTTGCGGTTAGCGCGCTGCGCTACGAAGCCAGTCACCCGAGTTCGATTCACGCTCAAGGCTAACGCCAGTGACGATTATATGAACCGGTCCTGGACCTCCCCGAGGTTGACTCAGCCTCAAATGAGTACCCGGTACGGTGTGTAAAACATCGCCGCTGGTGAGACAACAAAGGCAGCCGGGCGTGGCGCTGGCCTTCAGAGGTGTTCGCTAACAGCACTTGTCTCCCGCAGTCTGTTACAGGCTATCCGGAGGATCTTTGTTTTTGTATGTGCACGTAGGTGTTTACGTTGCCCCGTCTGGTCTGCTTTCCACTGCAGGTTTGCCACAAGTTGGTTCGGCGAAACCTCTTTATTCAGCACATCAGTAACGCAGTCTGGTGGCATGCACAAACCAACCAGGCGTGGTGGCACGGGCTTTGAAAAAAGCATCGGTGCATCACGCAGAGATTTATGAAACTCAAGAATCTACCGGGACTGCGAGGTGGCCACGAGATTTAAGTGCAGGATATTAATACATTAGCAAGACCGGTTAGCACGGTTGGCTACGTACGGTGCGAAAGAAGTTTAACGTAGATACATCTGTGCAGACTTTTTGGCTGCTATCCCATTGTATGTGTGGATTTCTTTGTGAGGTAGTTCACTTTTTCTTCTCACACAAAGCAAGGATCTTCTCATTGTGGAATAGGCCAAACATCCCAACCATCACGATCATTTAACAATTTTACAGTGCTCCATGTGCCATTAAATCCAGTGAATGCAAAATGGTTTGGAATGTGAACCAAATGCACACAGATCTAATAACCACAACAGTAAACATTTACACTATGGGAACCTCATTTTCCAGTAAAAATATGATAATTGGTTCTTTACCCTTCTATCTGGCAACAAAACTGACACCTTTTTACAAGGAGTCATGTTTGCATAGACCGCAATACCTGCAGTCATAATACAAACAAAAGAACATAACTCTGATAATGTGCACTGTCCTTGAAGTTGATTGGTCCACACCCGAGACAGCTTTCCTTAGAGCCTAGTCTCATATGGGTTGGACCAGATGACGCCAAAAGGCGCCTTTTGGCGTCATCTGGTCCAACCCATATGAGACTAGGCTCTAAGGAAAGCTGTCTCGGGTGTGGACCAATCAACTTCAAGGACAGTGCACATTATCAGAGTTATGTTCTTTTGTTTGTATTATGACTGCAGGTATTGCGGTCTATGCAAACATGACTCCTTGTAAAAAGGTGTCAGTTTTGTTGCCAGATAGAAGGGTAAAGAACCAATTATCAGTAAACATTTACTCTGAAAATAAGTAAATAACTAAATATACATTAAAACCACATGCAATAGAACGACTTAAACATATCAGTTACATCTTTTTTTTTCTTATAAAACACACAGGCTAATCGCGAATTGGAAAAGAGTAATTACCGAGTCTGTTCTGGAATTGATCCAAAAGTCCCGCCTGTAAAAGAAGGCCTAAAGACACAGTGAGGCCTTCTTGCCACATTGCATTATTGATTTTATTATTAATCCTGTCTGTGTTGCTGTAAGGACACAGAGGAGTTAACCTCCAGGATTGGTCTTCACGAACGGTTGGGCGCCACGCCTTTGGACTAAAACAAACAGAGCCAAATGGTTTTGAGGGAAGCAAACATGATGCAGTGTCAACAGAACATTGCCGCTGCTGTGAAATAAAACGGTAAAGAAACTGTGCTAACAGTGGCTTACAGACACGCATCGAAGCGCCGCATTCCTCATTAACAATTCCTCACGGAAGAAATTAGTGGAGCGGAGAGTGTGGGTCACCGTGCCCCTGAACCTAGCAACTTGTGTTCGGTTCCCGGCCATGCCGAACACCAGTGCCAAGTGACCCACTCTCAGCATCATGGCGTTCATCTTAAGCAAGACACTCCAGAGTATCTGTAATTATGTAATTCCATGTCCCCAAAAGTTTGTATTGCCAGCTGTTATAAAAGTCACATAACCCCCCCCCCTCGAGAGAGAGAGAGAGAGAGTTGGCCCGCAAATTTTTCGGCTCGACTAACCGCACTGCTGTAGTCTTTGTTGCCCCTTACTGCTAAGGCCCATTATTCCTCCAAATGTAAATTCTCCCTTGGCCACATTTATACTGTATTTGTTTAATCCTCCTAATGCCCAGGTGTTGGGAGTCTTCATTAGGTCCGTCATGAGCACCACGAGCTCGTGCAGTGTGTGCGCCGCATGCTGGAAGCTCATTTTAGGGCCAAGTCTACTGGGGGGAGTCCCGGATCATTCACGTTGACTTTGCTGTGCATGACCCAGGAATCGCGCGTACAGCTCACTGGGAAGACACCGCAGCATGCCTTCTGCTAGGTGTGTAACAATGCCTCGAATCAATCGATTCCCAAGCTCACGATACTCGCATACGAATCGTGTGCGTAAGGACGGGGGGGGAGCTGTAGTATATGCAAATACATGGACTCGCACACAGTGAGGCCTTGGTGCTGTTTATTTCCCTGCAGAGAGACGCTACAAAGGTCAGGGTGATTAATCACTTACGTCTGGCCAAAAGGCAACAGTTTCAACCACGGCGCTGAGCGCGCGGCCGATAACGGTAAGCTAAACAGCACTCAGCGGTGAAAACCGTGACCTGGCATCAGACACGGACTTCGCTCAGACATTACATTGTCTGGACAGTACCCGGCACAGTCATTACGGGGCTCTGGAGACATTCCGATAAGTGGGAATTTTTGCCAAAAACCTTAAATAATTAACATGAATAGAAAATCTGGGTGAAGTTTGATGCCCGGCCATTGCCAACACTGGTGGCGAGAGATATCTTGAACCGGTCCTGGGACCACCCAGCAACAACCTGCACTGACAAACTTCCAAGGTCAAGTTTCAAGCATCCCCTGTGTCGCCTGAACAGACTGTAGGGGCCATTGCTGTGAGCAAGTAGGAGCACCTATGAAGGGCCGGCACAGCACACGAGGAGAGGGGTGGGCCAGCATCATGTCCGCCCGGCCGCCTTTGTCTCCCAGTGATGACGTTGAAACATCGCACCAGGTATTCGTTCGAGGCCGAGTCGCCCTAGGAGAGGCCCAGGACTGGTCTAGATAATCGTCGCTGGTGTTGGCCGTGAGCAGGAATCAACTCAATAGCGCAGCGTGCCAACCGCTGCACTTCCGCTCCCTACCAAACAGCTTGGTGAAGTAGAGTAAAAACAATCCCCAAGACTGACAAGCAATCGGTAAGCTTCCGACTCGCAATGGCTTGACAAAAGGCCGTAAAATGGTATTCTTTATCATTAATAAACAACCTAGCTAGTTACTCTTTGGTTCTTTCGGTAAAGTCACGTAGATGAAAAATAAAAATAATAAAATGAAAGTAACTAAATTAAATCACGACGTTTCGGAGGCTACACAAGCTTCCGTCATCAGGTGGAACAGCCACAGCAAAATCACTGTGGCTGTTCCACCTGATGACGTAAGCTTGTGTTGCCTCCGAAACGTCATGATTTCATTTAGATATTATTTATTTATTAAATTTTTCATCTACGTGACTTTACCGAAAGAACCAAAGAGTATGGATCCCTGCAGTCACGAAAACACATTTTTATGAAAAGGAGTGGTGTGTATATTTGGCATTATACATGTTTTAGATAATATGCAGGCTACCCCACTGTCGTCCTTTACCTCAGAAAGTTAGGAGTTCACTATATTACCCCACACCAGGGTCAGTTATTACTAATATTGATTTTACTGCTTTCATTTCAAATCTGCAGATAAACCGGCAGTTGTTTTATTCATCAGGTAAAGCCCGGTGACCTGGCCACCCATGATAGCTCTTCACAAGTGGCTCGTCACATGTGGGAATTCATAGTAGCGGTCAAATAATCTAAACGGATGTCGTTTCTAAATGTAGGGCGGCAAAACCGGAGGAACCCAGAGCAAAATCCATGCAACCACGGGGGGGGGGGGGGGGGGGGGGGTGCGGAGAGAGAACACGCAAACCCCAAATACGCAGGCTCCTGCATACCAGGCGAGGGAGATAACATCCTTGCCTGGTATGCAGGATAGTAAAGTTATTTTTATTAACAAACAAAAAACTAAATCGGTGATCAATGAGCAGGAAAGGCCCAGGCTCAAGGCGCTTTTGAATACGAATTAAACATAAGCTGGAGGTGACTTTTGAGAAAGCCTGTGCTGATCTGTATTCCTCTCTGCCAGCGGTCACATCTTAAGATATTGATCAGAGGACAGGCATTAAAAGCAGGCTGGAGGCCAGTACAATATCGCACGAAGGGCACGAGCCAACGAGCGTCAAAAATTAGAACGCGAGTTAAAAAAAAATGAAAGAAATCTTTTTTAACTCCAAAGTAATATTGGGTGAATAAATCTAACTGATATCACCCAAACCACCCAGAACCCAACCAATTGCATGAGATGCGGGAAGCTAAGCAGGGACAAGCTTGGAAAGTGATTGAAGCTGCTGCGATGCTGTGATACAATGTCGGGCAGCGCGGCAAGCTGCGTTGTTGTACCTTACTTCTATGCTCCCACGTTAATGCTCCTCAACTTCACCAACCCGCATGGTGAAGTATAGTCAATCAGACCTAATCATTTGCATGCCGTGCGGAGGCCTTCGTCAAGTGGTGGGTTGACAAAAAGGGCTGCGCAAGCGCACGCAACAACAAAAACGGGAAACCTGAATTAATTGATACTTCGAACGCCGTCTTCCGTGAACTTGCCAGATCGCCGTGGGAGCAGCTCTACCTGCGTGCGCTATAGACATTAGAACACCCCGACCTTAAAACATGCCAAATTGCTAAATCGCTAAGCGCGTTGCAAAATGTCGTTGCATTTTCCTAATTAATGAGCAAAGACCCGACCGCCGCAGAACGAGGGGTGGGGCACGCTAATTGGCAGCAAAGTGTACCCGACTTGGATGACACACAGAGGAAATGCGTGCTTTTGCGGGGTGTGGGTGTGGGTGCGTGGGGAGCTATGGGAGGGACAAAGTCCCATCGGTGGGCTCCTCCGGCAAGCAAGGCTGCGTTGGCTGGGTCATGTAGCCCGCATGCCCAGTTACTGCATGCCAAAACAGCTTTAGTTCGGCCGGATCGAGGGGGCTAAACGGGCGCGGCACGGACTAGAGAAGAGATGGAGTGATGTGGTACAGGGGGACGTGGAGCTGAGTGGACTTGTCGATGACTGGTACCAGCGGTGTCAAGATCAACCTCTGTGGAGGAGGCTCGTGAAGGACGCTGCTGCTACTGGGCAGGTGGAGGCAGTCGCCCTCCAGCAACAAAAACGGAGGGAAGAGGAGCGACGCTCACAACAACGAGCGGACCGCCGGGCGGCTAAAACACAGCAAAAGTTGGCAAAGCAGGGGCACAGGTTGTGCATCGGCCAGTCATCTCAGTCGGTCAACCCATGGCACATGGGTCTGTCCCGTGACCTCCTGCCAGCGGGCGTTCGACACTCAGCCCCGGCACAAGTGCCGTGGTGACGTCGCAGCCACTTGTTGTTGTTGTTGGAGCTACGGTGCAGTGGTTGCGACGCTGTGTTACAAGCCTAACGACATAGTTTCAGTCAATTCCCCGCTCTGGCTAACATTAGTGTGCGGGTGTTGTGTGAACCGGTTCTCAGCCTACCCTAGGTTGACTCAGCCATAAATAAGTACCTGCTGCGGTGTGCAAACAACAGCACTGGGGGGGAGAGTAGAGTGGCCAGGCGTGGTCCTCGCCACACCTCCCCCTCACGCACCGCCCTGGCTATCGTACGCATGCTCGTGAACAGCACTTGCCCTCATTCAATGTAGGCTATATATGGGGGACCTTTGCCTTTGCGTGTGCATATGTACGTGTCAATTCGTGCACCTGGCCTGCCACCGGCGCCGTGGTGACGTCACCGTCACTTAGTTGCGAATGGCGGACATTGGTATTGGTCTATATGTATGCATGCTGAACTTCTTTCGCACCGTACGTAGCCAACCGTTCTAATCGGAGGTGCATGGGAGCGGTGGTGCAATGCTTAACATCACGTGGTTCCCCTGCTGCAATCTGAGTTGTATTCCTTGGAACGAACAGCACCAAAGGCACAGGGTGTCTGAAACTGTGCTGGGCCTCCCATAGGTCGACTCGGCCTTAAATAAATACCTGGCACGGTGAGTAAACAACAGCACTGGTGCAGCAACAGTGGCTGGTGGGGGGTGGTGCCTGGCTCACAACTCCCTCATGCACCGCGCGCCAGCCTTACTTAACCAGGCGCTCGCTAGCAGTGCTCGCCCCAACAGCGCACGCGCGGCTACAGGGCGATCGTTGTTTTGCGCGCGAGTGAGCGCACACAGACTCGCGTCTGCGACTTGACGGGATCGCAAGCCGAACACGGTGCGCGCACACACGTTGCTCTTCACAATCGTGGTCACGGAAGCGTAATATCTGGGGCACGGGCTGCGGGTGACGGCTTGGCCGAGGAGAGATGGCGAGAGAGTGGGAGAGAGACAGAAGGAAATAATGCAATGGTTCCAGGCTACGCTCTGTCCACGAAAATAAATCAATTCCGCGGCTACACGAGCTCCGGGCGCATCCCTGCCGCTTGCCGGGGCTTGCAGGAACTCGGCGGGACTACAAGGGGACGGGTGCGGTGGCGCACACAAAGGAGCGTGGACAATGCCGACACTTCCCCCACACCCACACGAGCACGCATGCTCGCCCGCAGCGATTTCAAACGCGGCGGCGCCCACACACGCACACCGCGCGCACCTCCCCCCGCCCGCCCGCCCGCGCCGGCGACTGCCGCCGCCGCACCCTGACCGGGGGGGGGGGGGGGGGGCCACAACGCAAATACCTTCGACCCCTCCCGGCAGGCGGCTCCGAGGGCTGAACATGTGCGTTGGAGAAAGCGTGTAAAATAAAATGTGCGCCTGTACGCTGAACTTCTTTCACACCGTATGCGGCCAACCACGCTAACCGGAGGTGCAAAACGAGGGGTGCGCACAAAATGTTCATCGCTGGAGACCGTTTTTTTTTTACTACGAAAAACACTGGTTCTAGGATGTACCCCGTGCCGTTCGGCACCGAGAAGATCCCCAGCACGCGCAGAGAAATAAATGTCAAGAGAGGTTTTCAGAAAGAGGCAGCGGCTCCCGGCACGTGGAGCGAAACGCGCCCAACAAACCCGAGAACAAAGACAAAGATCCCCCGTATAGGCTTAACAGACTTTTGAGACAAGTGCTGTTCGAGAAAACCTACGAAGGCCTGGCACCAGCACACGAGGGGGTGGGTGGCCAGCACCATGCCCTACCGCCTTAGTCTCCACAGTGGCGATGTTTACACACCGCACCAGGTACTCATTTGAGGCCGAGTCTACGTAGGGGAAAACCAGGACAGGTTCAGAAAACTTTCACAGGTGTCGGCCGTGAGCGGCAATTGAACGCATGTCGCTGAGTTCGTAGCGCGGTGCACGAATCGCTACACGACCGCTCCCCATAATAAAACATACACGCATTTGTACTAGCACTGGTGTTCACGTTGGGGAATTGCAAAAAATAAATCTATAAATATCCACCCGGCTCCCAGGCTGCAGCATATGATTGTCATGGGACTGTATTTTCCATCTGTAAGCAATGAGCAAGAGCTTAGTAATAACTGCTGATGAGAGGGGGGCTGGGCTCTTTATGACGGAGACAATACGCAAATTGTTTGTTATTATTTTAAAATCCCAAAGCAGCGGCCAAGAAATATAATTTACATTTAGACAGACATCACACTCTGGGTCAACGATTGGATGAATGATGAACGCATGCTGCAGGTACTGCAAAAAGGTCCACAGAACCGTGTGTGTTACTCATGTCCAGACGTGACCAGGTGTCTTTTAATGTCATGCACAGAGAGATCAAACCTAATCACCATGCCCGATTAAATAAAAAAGTGTAGGTAATGCCAGCGGCACATTGCCCAGGGATATTTTCAATGCACACTCTGATTTATACCGCAGTGGCATTGAAAGCACTCTCGTGCTTTTAGCTTTGCCGCGGTTAGGTTTAATTTCTGGTGCGTTTGCTGCATTACCTGTTTCGCAATAATAGCTCTGCTGTATGTGTTCGTTCGCGGTTATATTTAGTCTTATTCTTAGGTTTTTTCGGTAAAGTCACGTAGGTAAAAAATGAAAATGAATAAAAGTAAAATAAAATAAAAATCACGACGTTTCGGAGGCAACACAAGCTTCCGTCTTCAGGTGGAACCGTCACAGCACGATTGCTGTCGTGATTTTTATTTCATTTTTTATTTTACTTTTATTAATTTTTATTTTTTACCTACGTGACTTTACCGAAAAAACTAATAATATGAATCCTTGCAGTCACGAAAGCTTCAAATCTAGAATTATATTTAGTCTTCGTACTTGCTGCGTGATATTCTGCGGCGTGGCCAATACTAAACGCCTCCCCGCAAATGCAGCGACAGAGACGCGGCAAGAACTTCACCGCAAAACTTTGTGGTGGATCGTCGGAGCAGTGGCGAGCGCCGCCGTGTCACGAACCCTGGGACCTGCCCTGGGTAAATCCACGGTCACCACCCCCACCCTCCTCCCCCCTCCCTATGTTACAAAAACCAAATGTTCTACCGGCGCGATTCTCCCATGTCAGTAAGACAATCGTTTCTCCCACACACTTCCCCGGGTCGTCTGTTACCCCCCCCCCCCAGAAGACATCAGGTACATGCGGCATTTATTGTGTACAGAAAAAATATCTAGTAATTATTTATCTTTTTTAATTCACAGCCACAAAACTACCATCATAAGTGACGAATGGTATCTCAACGGGTTGTGAGAGCACTCCCTTTCACCAACCCCCACTGACCAGCGTGGTGAAGTATGGTCGAACAACCCCCATGACCTACAGGGCATGGAGAGGCCTTGCACAGCGGTGGGTTTCGAAAGAGTTGTAAATTACCATTAAAGACACGTGGCACTTAAAAGCTCCAGGGTCCTGATACAAAGTTTGAGGGAAAGGGAAAAAGTCCAGCCCTGTAATTAGTCGCTCTCACTACCACTGCACCAGTGGGATCGCTAGACAGCTCCTTTAGAGAGTATTTGGCCTACTCTTCCACACTGGCCAGATATCTTGGAGGAGGTGAAAGTAATTGCGCTTTATACATTGGTGGACAAGAAGCTTCCAGACATTCATTGCAAAGTCGGTCCAACTGCTGCTTGCCCGCAGAATATTGTCGGGAACCGGCCTTGCGAACAAACACAACGACGAGCGACGAGTCGCGCGCGCGCGCGGTTACCTCTGAGCGCCACCCAGTATCTCCTCCATTTGCGTCGAAGCGCCGGCTCGATTTTCTTGCCCTTGCGGCAGAACAGGTGCTTGGCCCTGAGCCAGCCGGCCTTGCGCACCTGGAACTGCGCCGCCGAGAGCCGCGCGGTGCTGTCCAGCAGCAGGGCTGCCGAGCCCAGCGACTCGCTCCCCGTGGGGTCGCGCGGGTCCTCGCTTCCGTCCGCGCTGCTGCTGCCCCCGCCGCCGACGCCGCCGCCGACGCCGGAGCCGCCGGCGCCGCCGCCGCCGGCCATGGCGTCGCCGTCGGCGAGGCTCGCGAACGGCGCCCTGGTCACGCCGACGCCGCCCGACCGCCAGCCGTGCATGTAGTTCTCGTAGACGGACGTCTGCTCCGCGTCGTCCGGCGCCCGGTGGGACTCGGAGCCATGCTGGGAGTCCTGCGGATGGCACCACGTGGCGCTGCGCTGGATGGTCAGCGGCTGGAATCCTGGGTCGCAGGGCCAACCCAGGTCAGGCGGCAGGGGCGAGGGGTCGCAGGGCAGCTCCGAGTCGGTGGTGCGAGCGATTCCGCTGTCGGCGCCGTCGCTGCCTTCCACTTGCACCTCGACGGGGACCTTCTGGTAAATGAGACACGAAATCAACTTAAATGCCATTCACACTTTCCTTGATGGTGAGCAGCACAGTGGACCTGGAGAGGCCGCCGGTTTGATCTCCCGGCACGGCAGCTGAAACAATGGTGCATGTTTCTTAACATCCACCCCCCCCAGTTTAACACGTAGTCGGCTTATGCGACCAATATTATCCATAATAGTTTTTTTTTGGTTAGATCGCGTAAATATAAATGCGTCATTAAATCCACCACCACCCGACACGACAAATTAGTGAGGTTCGTCACGTAAACAAAACGTGCCAATTCGTCACTAGTTCAGCACACCGGCGTGTTGGAGAGTGAACCCACAACATTTACAATTCGAGTGCTGTGACGTTTCGCCGGCAATTACAACCCCAGCAGTGTGAATGAGGTTCACCACAGTTTGTCCAACGGCAGGCCGCGTGTGGTGGGGTAAGGTGTGGGGACTCCCACCGTTTCCAAGACGTCTGGCCAGCTCGACAGAGCAGGCCTCAATACCCTAAGAGAGGGGCGGCTCTATAGTTTCCTCGAGTGGAGGCGCCTCCAGCAGCGGCGGCGTGCCCAAGCAATTGCAGGGCTGCACCTTTACCTTTTAAAAGCCACAGTGAGTCAATCTTCACGTTGTGTAAGCTCGTTAACAAGCATGGTTTATCCATGCGGTAATCTACCTGCTCAACATTGCAGCGAATATGTTCTCACTTTCAAGCCTTATTGGATTAGGTCATAAGCCCAACAGGTGGCCAATTCGCTACGTGGCACAGTTAAGACTCCTTGGGCACCAGGAACACAGCCCCCATTGTTGCAGACAAAACTAATTTATAGAATAATTCTCTCCTGCAACGATTTGTAATAAAACGCGCGTTATAAAAAAAAAGTAATTACAAATAATTCACCACGTTCAAATTTACCTTTTTAGTTTTCCGCCTGTCTAAGCTCCCGACGTAGCCGATTGGCTTGGGGTCACCGATCTCCAAATCGGCCCAGGAGACCCCAGCAGCAGGGGTCCGGCCGGGCTTGAGCCGCGGCAGCGTTTGGGAAGCGTAGCCCTCGTAGCCGTTCGCCGCGCCAGCGCCGGGATTGTCGTTCTCTTCCTCGCCCCGGCCGATTATCAAGCCCAGCGACTTCGACAAGTCCCGGTGGCACGTCGCCTCCCGGGGGGGGGCGGCCACGCGGCGCGACGACACGTCTGGGACGCTGCGGAGGCCCAGCGGCTTCCACACGGGGCTGCCGGGGCCGCCGCCCTGCGACGACGCTCCGGCCTGCGAGCCGCAACCGTCCGTCCCGCCACCCTGCGACGCTCCCTCCTTCGGGCAGCCGCTGCTGGGCCGTAGCGGCTGCCGATAGCCGCGTCGCGACACTAGCAGGTCCGGCACGCGCCCGTTCTCCCGGAGGTAGAACTCGCGTTTCTCGCGTCTCTGAGCGGCGGCGGCCGGGCCGCTCATTGCTCCCGCCGCGGCCGCCGACTCCTCGCCCGGCGTGTCGACGTGAAACTCGACGCGCACGCCGTTGCGATCCCTGGTGTCCTTGCGGAACAGGATCTTGGGGCTGCTGCGCTGCTGATGGGCACGGAAGAGCGCGCCGCGGGAGGACGACAGCGTCGTCACCGTCGCTTCGCCCGAGTGCTCGCTGCCGGAGTTGAGCGTGCTCCGGCTGCCGCCCGCTCCGCCCTCGTCCGTGGCGAAGCCGTTGACCGTGCTCGGCTCCGAGTCCAGGTCGGCTGCGCTGCTGCCTCGCCAACTCTCCGCGTTCGCGTCCGCGGTCACGGGCGCCGGCGCGGCCTTGCGGCTCGACGCGCGCCCGGGCCGAGCGGCGCGTCCGCCGGCGGGACGCGACTCGGAGCCCGCGGGGCCCGGCGGCGCGTAGGGGCCGTAGTCCTTGCTGCGCCCGCGCAGAGAGAGGGCGCGCGACTTGGTCGGGGAGCGCGAGGTTGAAGCGGGGCCGGGCCGGTGGCCGTTGGGCAGGCCGTGCTGCTGCTGGCTCTCCTGGTTCCCCATCGCCTGCGAGGAGCGAGACGCGAAGCAAGAGAATGAAAACGGCGCGAGAAAGGCGACGGCGGGAGGGTAGAGCGAGTGGCGCTGATTGCATCGGAGACGCACTCTGTTAAAGAGCGGTGTCGCGCACGAAAAAAAAGAGTCTGTGACTCAACGTAAATACCACGAGAAGTGGCAGATGCTTTAAAATGGTCCGGTCTAGGCCTCTGCGGGGGTCAATTTCCACCTCCACACAAGAGCACAAATCTCTCGGCAGATTATAATCTTTTTTAAAAACAGCAACTCGACGTCCATTTGAAAGCGAGCAACGAGCGGCCTGTTTACCTCTCACGGCAAGAGGCAGAGCTGGAAACAAATCTTGCAGTCTGAGGCGATGCAGACGATTCCTTGTGTTTCCCAGACGTTACTTCACCACTGAACAAAAGCATAACAACGGTGTTTCAGACGCACATTTGTTTTGCGTTACATTACACTGCCCTACATGGCAATTGTAACTGCAAATACATTTAAAGAACGTTGGAAGTGCTTCAGTCGAATGAACGGCGCGTTTAAGAGTCCCCTTTTATGTCTGCTGTCTGCAAGAGGCCTGCCTAGCATATGTCACATCAGCGCAAGCCAGCCAGCAAATTGAATTACGCAATAGTGTGTGAGTTTAACATTAATCTGACGGCAGTTTCAAATACGATTAACGTTCTCGACAAGCAGTGCAACAAAAAATCTGTTCCAAACAAAAAAACGGCCATCTGCCTCAAAACCTCATCTTAATAAATCTATAAATTGCGCAGGTCAAAATGGTTTGTTGGAAGGTCCATCGTAATTAAATGTACATTCAAACCGGGGGGTTGTGCAGCTGCGGGTTACTGCCATTAGCAAGACAAAAACGTCTAGCTGAGTAAACATCTCCGTGGCTTGTGACGCTTTCATTCTATGGAGCTTAGCAGACTTATTTAGTGCTGCAATGACAAAAAATGCAACAAACACGCACCCGGCTTCCAGGCCTGCCTGCTGCATCAGTGTGCAGGTCCGTTCTTAACCCTGTTTCCAATTATATTAATGCTTTCAACGACCACCAAACAAGAGAAACACATTTTCCTTGAACTTGTGATTTGTGTATGGTCGGTTTGAGTGGTTATAATCTACACAAGAAGATATTGCTCCACAGAACACATTTGTTGAAAATAATGGGGTATGTGGTGTCATTGCAGGAAAATATTCGAAGATTCTAAATCAAGGGTTTTAAGTGTTACCCCTGTATATGCTGGGGTTTTCTCTCCACATGCGAAAATGGAAATTGAACAAATATCCCAATGCAGGACCCTTATATATGTGAAGTAAATATACGCCCTTGAAACTCAGTCAAGTTTTATTGGGCGAGAGCCATTATTGTTCACGATATCTATGACATGTGTACTTTTAAGCAACGCGATATCATTTCATGGCTCCTCCAAAGGTGCTTACACATTTACTTTCCTTGATTTCATCCTTCAGCAAAACCACGATTGTCTCAACAATAAACGGGTGCGTGCGCGTGTGTGCGCGAGAGAGTTATACGCGTCCAGCAATCAGGGGCAGTGGGACGCAGACAGGCATTAGAAACCCGTGGCGTGACCACGCCTGACACTCGTCGAACACGAGTGGCCCACGTGCGCCGGTCGGCCGCGTGTCGCCCAGGAGACCCCCGAGCAGCACACAAAGCGACGGATTAAGGCAAAAAAGCGAACGATTGTGCCACGAGGATTTAATCAAAGCGCTCTCCTGGTTCTGCTGTCATAGCACTGCCTCACGTGTATGTGTGTCTGTACATGTGTGTGTGTCTGTGCGTATGTGTCGGGAGCCGTAGTGTAGCGGTTAGCGCGCTGCGCTACGAACCCGGCGGCCCAAGTTCGATTCCCGCTCACGGCCAACACCGGTGACGATTATCCGAACCGGTTGTGGGCCTTCCCTAGCTCGACTCAGCCTCAAATGAGTACCTGGTGCGGTGTGTAAACATTGCCACTAAAGAGACAAAGGCGGCCAGGTGTGGTGTTGGCCACCCAGCCCCTCGTGTGCTGTGCCAGCCTTCGTAGGTGCTCACTAACAGCACTGTTCAGGCTATAAGGGGGATCTTTGTCTTTTTATGAAGATCCAGAACTCACCAATTATCTCCACTCACTCACTCGCTCACCAACGGATCAGTCGCCTCCTTTCCTGATTGCTCTCCTATCGCTACTGCAATGGTCACTGTTCCCGTGAAATGTTCTCTTGATTCCTCTGCCCACGTTGAGGACCGTCTGCCAGACTTGTTCAACCACCACACGCTTCTTCCCCTCGCACTACTCCACTTTGGAATTTCCTCCTCCTCCCCCCTCCCATCATCTCTTTTTCCCAAGCTGCAATAACAACCTCGGCTCAATTCAAGAAACGTATTCAACTCTTTATCGTTCACAACTCGGATAATTCTTTTTCTTGCTGGGAGCTCGGAATTTTTGGGGCTTTTTTGGGCTTCCGCTCGGCAAACTTTAGGTGCATGCTGGCGCGTTAATCAGGTGTCACCGTACGATTAAAATTTTAGTGACACTACAAAATTAAGGTTCCCGTAAAGTGTGCAATTGTATATCACAATGTCGCTGTATCGTATTTGTGTTCTGTTGCACTTATAGTATTAATAAAGATTACATGCATAGTTAATCCACATAAGCCTGCCAAAAGTCTTGTCGGTCACTGCAACTTTAAAACCTATAATGCTTCTAAATCACATGCCGTCCGTTCCATCAAAAGTATTAAATAATGAAATAAACTATGAACATTTTGACATCACAATAATTGCCATGCCAGTCAATGGCTTCAAAAACAAATTTGCAAAGTGCTAATTTTATGGGCAGTAATGATTTATTTAGAACTTAAATTATTATAAAAATTATTCAGAAATATTTTCAGCAAATATTTAATAAAAAATATAACTATCAATGATAATCACAATAAAAATATATTTTTAAAAATGAAAAGAATAATGCAATTTTTATAGCGTCATTCATAAAACTGCATCTCAATACGCTCTGAGAACGATTAGCATGGTTGACTGTGTACGTTCCGAAATAAGTTTAACAAACATTCTAGATTTGAAGCTTTCGTGACTGCAAGGATTCATACTCTTAGGTTTTTTCGGTAAAGTCACCATGTAGGTAAAAAAGAAAAAATAAATTAATTAAAATTAATAGAAGTAAAATAAAAATTCTAGATTTGAAACTTTCGTGACTGCAAGGATTCATACTGTTAGTTTTTTCGGTAAAGTCACGTAGGTAAAAAATATAAATAAATTAATTAAAATTAATAAAAGTAAAATAAAAATTCTAGATTTGAAGCTTTCGTGACTGCAAGGATTCATACTCTTAGGTTTTTTCGGTAAAAGTCACGTAGGTAAAATTTTTTGTAAATTAAAATAAAACAAATTAACAATAAACAAATAAAAAATTCACGACGTTTCGGAAGCAACACAAGCCTCCGTCTTCAGGTGGAACCGTCACAGCCACGTGGAACCGTCACAGCCACGACAGCTGTATCAAGTAAATCAAATTTACTTGATACAGCCACGACAGCTGTATCAAGTAAATCAAATTTACTTGATACAGCTGTCGTGGCTGTGACGGTTCCACCTGAAGACGGAGGCTTGTGTTGCTTCCGAAACGTCGTGAATTTTTTATTTGTTTTATTTTACTTTAATTAATTTTAAAAAATTTAATACGTGACTTAACCGACAAAAACCTAAGAGTATTTAACATACATCATACATAATCACACAAATGCATCAAGGAAGGGGCTGATGCCCACAATAAAGGAACTTGTGAACAAAGCTACTAAGCACACAAATCAACACAATTACAAAAAAAAGTTACCAAACATATCAAATAGATACATGGCAAAAGAAGTATATAATGTTCACCACGTCAAATTCTCCAGCTCCTCGAACCAAAACGAACGATTGGATTACTGTGGGCCTCATGTTGTATGATATTCTGTAGCATCGCCACAAACAGAGCCCGCTCGCGCCACATAAATGTCTCGCCACATTTGACAAATGTTTCTCAAAACAGGGGGAACATGCTCTATATTTTTTTTTCCGTTACTTTCCAAGAAAATATCCCACCGGCCTTGCTCATTTTTCCCGAAACGCCACTGTGCCCCTTTCCCAGCGCAGTGGAAGGGAACGCAACACGTGCAGCAAGCAGAGATGTGAACACAAACAGAACTTTCTAGGCCTGGAGATTACGCAGAAAAGGCAAAAAACATTTCTAGTTGCCCACGAACAAAGTCAACATTGGCGGAGCCAAGAACACGGTGCCTTGAAATGAAGGGGCCTAGAAAAAAAGGGATCCGACGGAGCCAAACACTTTAGTTATTTTTTGTATAAACCTTAAGTGTTATTTACACAATGTTCATCTTAGTCATGTTTAAGGAATGTAATAGTTTCATTTAAAATGTTTAAAGCTCCACTCTTACCGAGCAAGGTGAGGAGGCTTTGAAACAGATGGCCAGATTTGGCTTTTTTTTTTACACTTCCTATATTACTGCTGCGGAGGTAAATATTGAGCTTTAACATATGCAGTTTGTTCTCAGAGTCGTTATTTTTTAGCTTGCAAAGACAAACACCCCCCCCCCAACACTCACACAAACTGTTGGGGCAAGTTGCTGTTTACGGGCGCCTATGAAGGGCGGCACTATGCACGTGTGGGTGGTGTTGCCAGCACCAAAGCCCGGCCGCCTTCCTCCCGCTTTGAGTTTGAGTAACGAACAAACGAGGAATTTATCCTGAGCACCGATTTAAACACAGCACCAGGCTGAGTCAACCTCCAGAAGGCACAGCAGTCTGTTCGGATATCACAGGCTGTGGCTGTTAACACCGTGCCAACAACTGTTACCACCACTCTCATACACAAATATCAAAGATCTCCCGCTACAGCCTGTTGGGGCAAGAGCTGTAAGCAAACACCTATTAACCCTGACACAGAACACAATGGGGCATGTGGCCAGCACCACGCCAGTCTGTCTCCACAATGGTAATGTTTGCACACTATACGAGGTGCTCATTTAAGGATGTCCAGGACCAGTTCAGATATTCGTGACTGATGTTGCCCGTGAGCGGGAATCGAAATCGCATCGCCGGGTTCGTAGTGCGCTAACCACTGCACCACCACTCCCCATCGGACATACAAAGACAAAGATCCCCTGTATAGCCTTAACATACTGTTTGGGTAAGTGCTGTTAGCAAGCACCGATGAAAGCTGGTAAGGCGCACGAGGGGGTGGGTGGCCAGCACCACGCCCGGCCACCTTTGTCTTCCCAGTGGCGATGTTTGCACACCTCAATAGGTCCTAATTTGAGACCGAGTCGACCTAGGGGAGACCCATGACCGGTTCAGATAATTGTCACTGGTGTTGGCCGTGAGCGGAAATCGAACACGGGTCGCTGGGTTCGTCGCGCTAACCGCTAACACTACCGCTCCCCCCCCCCCCCCAGACACGCACGCACACATCACACACTGCAGCTCTGACGTGTAACTCTTCACACGCAACAAAATGCCTATTAACTCTCATTGAGGACCGTGGAATCCTGCCAAGCATGTTCGCTGCAGCTCGCAGACGCCCGGCGGAGCGTGACGCCTGCACCAAAGGCCAGCTCCTCCTCCACCCCAAGACTGAGGGGGCCCAATGCCTGATTGGCAGCTTGAGAGCGCCTCGCGTTTCGAGCAGCCACGAAGTGACCCAGCAACACAAGGAGGCGGCACGAAGACTGCTGGCCGAAGAGGTCGGCACTGGCTCAGTGCAATGTTCATTTATATTCATAATCAAGTTTTTGGGTTTAGATCGCGTTATTTATAAATGTGTCGTAACCCTCCACCACCCGACACGGCCAATCAGTAAAAAAGTGTCACGTTGACAAAAGACAAATAGTTCACTGCTTTAGCCCACCGGTGTGTTCAAGCGTGAAACCACAACATTTATAATTTGAGTACGACGTTTCGCTAGTAATTGCATCCAGCATCATCGGGCAATTTGCCAGGTCTTTCGGTAAAGTCACATAGATAGGTTCAAAATTAATAAAAACAATGAAAAAAAAACCACGACGTTTCGATTGCAACACAAGCAATCGTCTTCATGTTGCTTGTGTTGCGATCGAAACGCCGTGGTTTTTTGTTCATTATTTTGTATTAATTTTGAACCTCTTCTTGGTTCTTTCGGTAAAGTCACGTAGAAGGGAAATAAAAAAATAATAAAAATAAAACATAATACAATACAATTGATGAATCCCTGCAGTCACGAAAGCTTTAAATCGAAATTTTATTTTGAACCTATCTACGTGACTTTACCAAAAGACCCAAAGAATATGAATTCCTGCAGTCACGACAGCTTTAAGTCGATGATAATTTAGTCAGCCTTTCCTATTTTAGTGGGTCTTAGTCTTGTCGATGCCAACTTGTGGCACTTCACAGCAAAGTCTCCGGCTAACGCGAGCCTCGGTCATTAGCACAGAATCCCATGAGAGCCTTTGTATGGCTCTATGAGCCACAGTCATTTACACTGAACCCGACGGGAGCCTTAGTCTGGCCAATTGAGCCTCAGTCATTAAACAATTAACCCTATGGGAGCCTTAATATGGCTCAGAGTCTCCAAGCAGTGTTAGTCAGCGTATTTTAAATTCTGGTCATAATCTTAATCTCGTGGACCTGTGCAATCCAGCAAAGTCTGAGTCATTCTCTTCGAGCCTAAAGCAGTCAAACGTTTAGTCAGTGAGGCACTCGTTAATATTAAATGTTGGTGAGGGGTGTTAAACTTACCCTCCCGCGATATTATCAGGTCAGCTAATCAGGAAACTCGGTACAACTCTTTTAATTTATACTTCGTCCAATTGCCAAGTTCGGTCCTCCACGGTGCACTAGTCACCAATACCGCTACTCAACTATCGAAGAAAAACCCGCATCTTTCTTAAGCCTCGTTAATTTAATCTCGGTCGGTCGCGGTTCACTTCGCCATGGGAAAGCGAAGTCAGAATCATCAGAATATTTATTTGGACTGGAGGAAGGATCTGATGAGCCATGAAGCTCTTTTTCACAGCTGTCCAGTATGGGGCAGGTCAGCAAAGTTACAACAGCAGACAATGCAACAAACGATCAGAGTGCGAAATATAGAAAATGGTAAGCAAGTCACAAAATATGAATAGAAAAATAATCGAATTAACTATATAATCCTTATATTTAGATTTAAAGCTTTTGTGACTGCAGCGATTCATATTCTTGGTTCTTTTGGTAAAGTCACATAGAAGGAAAATAATAAAAATATTAATACAAATATTATTTTATTATTTCCCTTCTACGTGACTTTACCGAAAGAACCAAGAATATATATATAATCCTTATCACGCTCGCTGATTTAGGTTCACTCAGTAATTGCTACCCTAAAATAAAAACAAGAGCTTTCTTCAACGAATATTTTCATTTCGTTTACACAAACTTAACGCTGGACCCGGCACATGAACGATTTACAAGGCTGAGCTGACCGACCAGAGCCAGCTCCAAACGTCAGTGCCGGCGGCAGCCCCCCTCGCTTACCGTGCCGGCGACGGCTCGCGGACGCACGGCGTGGGATCGGCTGGCTGGGATCGCCACGGGCTCGCCGGTTCATAGCTCCCAAAAAAAATAAAACACCAGCGTGGGGGGGGGGCACTGGCGGAGCGGCCACACTACCGAGAGGGGCCGGCTGGCAGCGGGTGCAGCGAGCGCGTGAGGCACATCTGAAACAAGAGGGAGGGGAGAGAAAAAAAAGCACAGGGTGAGAAGGGGGTGAGCAAGCAAATTAAACGGGCGACGGCAAAAGCGCAGCCCTGCAACCTGCTTACTCACACCACTGCTGGCGGAAAAGTGGGGCCCCCTCCATGAGAGAGCCCCCTCCCCCTCTCTTTGGGGTATTTGGCCTACTTTCCACGTTGGCCAGACATTCTTGGAAGAGATGGGAGTACCCCAGAGGTCGCAAACGGGTTTTGATTCCTTACCCGTACCCGACCGCACCAGGGTCGCAAACGGGTACCCGTACCGATACCCGGCCGGGTACGGGGAGCCAGGTATCGGGTAGGGTACGGGTATCGGGTACCCGGTTGCGACCTCTGTGATGAAGCCATGTTGCAGGCACGGGTGGGTTGATTCTAGGAATTTGAATTGTGAGAAGAGACAAGACGTTGGGAAATGAGTGACAAACGGTTACTCACCAGTGACTCACGGCCTACCCGTACCCGGCCGCACCAGGGTCGCAAACAGGTACCCGTACCCGGCCGGGTACGGGTAGCCGAGTATCGGGTAGGGTACGGGTATCGGGTACCCGGTTGCGACCTCTGGAGTACCCACACTTTATCCCACCGAACCCGACCTGCTAATGACTAACTGTGGTGTGCTCATTATTATAAACAATTGGGGTGGATAGAGGCAGGCAGATTTAAGAAATTCTCCCCAATGTGTAAAACTGCGTGTTTAAGGGAGTTTTAATTGAATCGGCGACCTCTGGATAGCAAGTCCAGTGTGCTAACCCGTGACCATCACTGTGGCAGCATCCCAGGCCATCAATTGCATAACGTAAAAAAAAAGGGGTTGGGATTTTTTTTTCGCTTCATTTTAACACGGACGTCCTGCGCAGAGATGGAGCGATGAAACTGTATGCACGTGCCAGAGGTTTTGTTGCATCACAGGACGGTAGGAGGTGGCAAAACCAGTGAAAAAAGAAGTTTTATTCCTGGCAACAGCTTATGCCAGTGCCGACGGACATCAGAACCCAGTCCTGGGCCGCCGCCTTTCACCGGCCCACAATGACCAGCATGGTGACGTGCGGTGAATCATGACTGATTGTACGAACGCATGTTGAACTGCTTTCGCACTGCACATCGCCAACCATGCTAATCGGAGGTGCGGGGGAAGGACAACAAACTAAGCACAAAAAGCTGTTGTTAAGAAATAGGTTTTCAAAATAGATTAATAGTGTTGGGAGACTTTCATCTAGCAGTGGAGAGATTATGGCTGATGTTGGTGACGATCATTTGTTGTGTTTTGAAATGTGAACCTTTTTTAATCTTTCCAGCTATATTAACGCGAGATTATATTCCATAAAAACAACTTTACGGGGATGGGTTACCATTCGTGACCTTTTGAAAAGTACATACATCTTAACCTCTATTTAACTCGCAGTTTGATCAGATTGGCCGAACATCGAAGTTTTTCTAAATATGGTTTTAAATCACGCTATTAAATACTAATTATATATTGTAGGGGATAGTCTACACTTATCATTAAAATTATAAACCTTTAATTAACTCCCTTAACATCCACCGACATAATTGCACAAACACAATATCGCGGTTGTGCAGTGTATAATAATAATAGTGAATAACCACGCGCTCCTTTTATTCACGTGCAAGCGCAAAATATATAGCTCGTGCGCGATAATACCAGCGATGTGTTTATTCACGTCGCCACGCCGTGATATGTATATACCGCCTTGTAATTGCCCACTCCGACAGATAGCGTGCCCAAATTAAGCAGAGCAAACATCACAATTGCCCGGCAGATATTGAGCACATGGTCAAATGAGTTTACTTGCGTGGACAGTGGGTTGGACAAACGGGCACGACACGGGCTGGAAAAGAGATGGACTGATGCAGTACGGGAGGACGTGGAGCCGAGTGGACTTGCCGACGACCGGTACCAGCGGTGTCAAGATCGGCCTCTATGGAGGAGGCTCGTGAAGGACGATGCTACTTGGGCAGTTGGAGCGCCGGGCGGCTAAAATGCTGCAAGTTGGCACAGTAGGGCGGGGTACAGCTGGTGCATCTACCGGTCATCTCAGTCTGCCAACCCATGGCACCTGGGTCTGTCCCGAGACCTCCTGTCAGTGAGCCTTCAAGACTTCACGTGGCCTCAAAGTGCACCTGGCCTGGCACAGGCGCCGTGGTGACGTCATCGTCATTAAGTGGCAAATGGCGGGTATTGGCATTGGGCACACGATAAGGCGACAGCGCTATTTCCCGTTTGGCATCATTTCTCAGTTTTCCGCCGATTTCCCATTGTTGAGATGTAACGGTATGGCTGCCAGGAGCTATGTGCATCGCTACACAAAACAACATTCCAAACGAAGCCCTCAGGTTACGCACAACTGCGGATTACTCACATACCACGCCGGAGAAATTCCATATAACCAACAAAAAGCGGTAAGTGGCACCGATTAGACGTTTAATGTGACTCATAACTACTGCCTGCGTGGGAAATTTAATTCCTCACGAATTTCATTGAAAACAGAAACCGCGACAGCGACAACGACGTCGAGAGTAACCGTGGTGCACAACACAAAAATAACCGCTCCGAGAATGTGTACAGCACGCATTGTGTGTGTGTGTACGTTGAGCTCCGTTCGCACCGTAAGTGGTAATCGGAGGTGCGGGGGAAGGACACCAAACGAAACGCACGCAAAAAGTCAGACATGTACAACTTCGATTTAAAGCTTTCGTGACTGCAGGGATTCATCTTCTTGGTTCTTTCGGTAAAGTCCCGTCACTTTACCGAAAGAACCAAGAAGATGTACAACTTCGTATATCTGTCTAGCTGGGGAACTGAGGTACGGGCGGCTATGTGAATAGGTTGGATATGCGAATATATTGAAAGGGACATTTTACCCCACTACATGCGAAACTACCGATTGACTAACTTTGGTGTACCATAGATTTCGATTTAAAGCTTTCGTGACTGCAGGGATTCATCTTCTTGGTTCTTTTGGTAAAGTCACGTAGAAGGAAAATAATAAAAAATTTACTAAATACATTAAAAATATATATAATAAATAAATATACTTTCTTATGTTTTTTATTATTATTTATTATTTCCATTTGGTGTACCAGTTGACACTGTTAGGCGGACAGACAGAGGTGCCGTTTAATAAAACCTTAACCATTATTTAAACTGTCGTGCCCGGCGCTGGGAGTCGAACCGGCGACATCTGCGTTGCAAGTCCAGCGCAACTAAAGCCGCGTTTGGCAGCATGCTGCTGCGCGACGTAGTGCCGCACTCAAAAACTCGAGACTTTCAAATGGGAGCGGCCTTGCCTGTGTAGAGAGTCTACTTTATAAAAAAAAAAAACTCCACATTTAATAAACGATGGCATGCGATTTGGCCGGCCGAGCTAACGGGGAATTTTTTTTTAAGTTGCCACCAAACCACAAACCCACGTCTGGTTCCTGAGGAGTGAGGGGGTAGGGGGGGGAGGCTGCTTTGGCTGAGCCGCAGCAGCTGTGCACAGCCCCCCAAGAAATATTCGTGCCAAGTTCAGCGCTCGGAACACGCCCAAAAAACTGTTTTGTGCGTTTGAAGAAAAACAAACAAGTCTGGTTTCTTTTTTGGGGATGGGGAGGAATTAGTTTTCAAGAGTCACACGTGAAGCGGCGGTGGCGGCGCAAGCTAGAACGCCGAATGGGATCGATCACGTGTGTTCGCGATGCCAGCTCTGTATTCCGCTCGCACGCGTACTTATTTACTCCACGCCACAATTCATAACGCGCGTGCGCTTACGAAACAGAAACTGCCGCCCGTGTATTTCTCGCCTGCCATTTAGAATCCGTCGCTTTGCCGTGTGTGCGCATAGATGCTGCTGGCTGTCGGGCTTCATTTCTCACCGAATAATTTCTGGGTCGCGGTGAACTGGAATTACGTGCGCACCGTGTCTAATAACCACAGCCAGAGCTATACTCGATGCGGTGTACCGGTGTGCGCAATTATTTTTTGCTCACGTTCCTCGACGCACGCAGACACAGACCTTCGCTGAATTTTAACCGTGGATGTACCAACGACACGCGTGGAGGGCGAGGGGTAAAGTTCTGTCATTTTGGCGACCAAGGGTCACCCTTTAAAAAGAGACTCGTTCTGGTCTCTTGAGCCCTTAACCGGTTAAACAAAATAAAAATGTAAGTGGCCAGGTGTCTCGGAGGGTGGGTTGGGGAGTGGTGGTATGAATGCCACATCAATGTGCATGGAGCTGGCAGTGTTGAGATCCTGGGGGTGAATTTGGGTGTCAGCGACCCTGTGATTAAACCGGGTTCTCAAGTGTAGCGAGTTTTAAGGACTCAGCTCAGTCAAAATGACAGAAAGAAAAAAACAATCATCTTTAAATTTGGCTTTTGACAAGATGGTCCATTTTCCAGCTCATGCAGTTAATGTTTTTGTTTGACTAACAAGTGACGAATACAAATTTGCAATGCATTGAAAAATAAGTGCCCACTGAAAAACAACTGGAGGCACAATGAAGTAATTTCAAAAAGTGGGTCTGTTATTTCCATCTCTTCCAGAGTGAAATCGACGTCACAGGATGGTGCAAAGCTTCCTGCAAGAGTTCCAAAAGGAAATTGCTTCATCTCGCGACAAGGCACCCACGACACAGCTGGAATATAACTGGGGGGAGGCCATAAAAACAATTCAAACATTTTATAAATAAACCAGCTGAAAGTCACGTGCACATTCAGGGCCGCCTGCCCGCCGTCATGACGCAGGCTTCTCCCTGACCCCAGGTGCTCCACAAGAGAAGAGCCTAACCGCCAGATGGACCGATCCGTATTTGCTACAAGCTGCCTCTCCCTCTCTCTGACGTGCCCCAACTTGTCATCGAGGTGAGGTTGTAAAAGGAGACCAGAGCCCAGCAATAATCCCAAGCCCTGCTGCCTCGGCCACAGCCCAGAGCCCCCTAACGATGCGGCATGTGGGCCCTCCC